ACCTGTTTACACGGTTTATGTCCCGGGACCGTTTCCAACTGCTACTCCAGCGACTACGGATATTCAACACTGCGGAATTCCAGCCCAGCCTGCAGACAACTCGAAAGGGCTGCTTAGATTGTAGTGTACCATTATGTATTAACAAAGATTGCTGGTACCTCTGGCACACCCAAAATTTATAGGAAATAGAGGTACTGCAGCCCTATTGGTTAACTTAATAAATTTACAAGCCCTTATTGGCTCTACCCCGCCCTTGGCGAAAGTGCTGTCCATCAGCACCCGATGGGATAGTCCCAGAGACAATAAGGTTAGCCACAGAATTACGGAAGAATCCCGTTCGCCGTCCCAAACAGGCAACCGGGTCCCGTTTCGAAGCCCGCGCAACCCAGGTCCCAGCCGTCTGTGTGGGCTTTACCAAGGCAGTGAGCGCATGACCGGGGAACCACGGTCGATGGGCGATAATCGTTGACACATTCAGAGGAGTACTCCGTGCTTGCCCCTGGGACATTGAGGGGGCTTACGCGAAAATGGGCCGTCTTCGCTCCTCAAGTTCAAGACGACAAGCTCGTCGTCGTCGTCCTTTCCTTCTCTCGCTCCGTCCCGTGTCCGCACTCGTCATCGTCGTCACACTCGTTCCGTGCCTCGTTCTCGCCGTGCAGCTGTTTTGCCAACATCGACATTCGTTCGTCAGCCAGTCTTTGCCCAGCATATTGAGAGACCTCTTTGCGCCGGCCGGTCTCGTGCCGTTGCTGCTCTCTTCCCCAGCGGCTGCCACCCTTCTCTACGCCTCGTCGTACAGCGGCGCCATCACCACCCTCAACCTCACTCTGTCAGGCACAAACGCTACGCAGTCCACACTGCAGTCGCTCTCCTCCTCCAACGGCTGCGCGCCCAGCCCGTCCTGGCTCCAGCTGGACAAGGCCAACGCGAGGCTGTTCTGCACGGATGAGGGTCTGACCACCAACGTCGGCACAGTCTCGTCCTTCAAGACCGGCGCCGACGGGACGCTGGAGCAGCTGGCCAAGACGGAGACCATCAGCGGTCCCGTGAGCGCCGTCGTCTTTGGCGAAAAAGGCCAAGGCCTCGCCATCGCTCAGTAGTATGTTATTCCTGTCGCTTGATGAGCACGAACTAACCTTGACCAGCGGCGGCTCCTCCGTGAGCTGGTTCGACATCTCCAACCCGGCGGCCCTCACGGCCGTCAAGTCCGAGACGTTCAACATGTCGGCTCCCGGCCCCAACCCATCGCGCCAGGACGCCCCGCACCCGCACGAGGTCTTCCTCGACCCCAAGGGCCAGTTTGTCCTTGTTCCCGACCTGGGCGCCGACCTCGTCCGCGTCTTTGCTGTTGATGGCGCCAACAACCTCGCGGCTGTCGATCCCCTCGTCGCCGCCCCCGGAAGCGGACCCCGTCACGTCGAGTTCCTCGTCACGCCTGAGGGCAAGACGTACCTGTACCTCATTAGCGAGCTGGCCAACACCGTCACCGCGTACGACGTCACTTACCGCGAGAACAAGACGCTCGGCTTCACCGAGGTGTTCTCCGGCTCCACCTACGGCGCCGGTGCCTCTGCGCCTGCCGGTGCCGGCGCCGCCGAGATTTGGATTTCTGTAAGTCAACGTCCTTCCATTCAAGTCTTGGGAACGCACACTAACAAGGGCAGTCTGATGGCAAGTTCTTGACCGTCTCGTCGCGTAACGACTCGGCTTTCAGCATCAGCAACCCCGACACCGCCGGCGAGGGTGCGCAGATCCCCTCGGACTCGCTCAACACCTTCACCATTGACGCCAAGACGGGTGGTCTCACGCTGCTGCAAAAGTTCCCCGCCGGCGGACGCATCCCGCGCCGGTTCTCCGTCAGTAAGGCCGGCGACCTCGTCGCAGTCGGTCTGCAGACCGACAGCCGTGTCGTTGTGATTAGCCGTGATGCCGCGTCGGGCAAGCTGGGGGAGATTCTTACCAGCGCCAAGGTGGATGGCGGAGTTACTGCCGTTATTTTCGATGAGTAGGCGTTTAGCATGAGCGTAGAGTATGAAACTGTTCGCATCTGGCTTGCCTATTGTGCGCCATGAGTAGATGCTAGATACCAATCAAATCAAACTCCAGTGTATAGATGGGGCCCGTACTGACCCAACGATGCCAATTTGACATGTTGAGATCTACGGTACAGGTGGAACGGGACCGAGCAATGGCACACCCAAGTCTCCCACTGTTCGCTTATGCGGGCGCCGTGAATACGGACGCCCCTCGGTTACGTAGGTAGGTCAGCACCCGGGGTTGGGAAGATGACGGATTCCTAATCCGGTAGTCGAGGAGCGGCTCGCAAGTCAGCCAACGTGTTCGAAATGACTGACCCCGTTTGGGCAAAGTTCGGATCCCCGGGCGGGCCATCATCTGCGGGTTTGACTGAGAAGAGAACCTGAAAGACGGGTGGGAAGGTACCTGGTCCATGCGAGGCTGTGCCTTGTGATGTGCACGTCAACTTATAAGACTAGAATTGCGGGAGCGGAGTGGTGACACCGCAACATTAAAAGTCACACTTGGATCAGTGCCGGCGCAATGTCACAGCGCAGCCGAATGGCATTCTTCAGACCGGCACTCGAAGCAACGCAAGTGTCTATTTATTCCGTTTGCCGCGGTTGAGCGGATACGTTTTTTTCTTTTCTTTCTTGTCAACGTGGAGGTTTCCGTGTCGTACATCTCAGTACTCTTGGAATATCGGTTTCAAATCCAGACTGTTCACCACAAGGTATCCGTCCGCGGCTGGCATATCGAGTGACGGAACAGAATCATCGACAAAGTCTGGCTCAATGCCACCATGATCCTGGGGTCGCCACCAGTATAGACTCGAGAAAGGTTCCGCCGGACACGGCAGAGAAATGCTTCTTGGCCTGGTCGGTCGACATGCAGCAAGACTATAGAGTATCAAAGTCTGGTATCGAATTAGAACCCCTGAAGCGGGTAGTCGTGAGGGACTTAGAGTGTGGGGCATCCATCGCAATCAGGGAAACGGCCGGCCGTTCGCCCGTCCGACCCCGGATTTCCCCCCGGGGACGAACTCGTAAGATGGGGAAATGTTTCCTGGGCGGAGGATTGTGGACCGCAGACGACGGATCTTGATGGAAGAAGTAGTTCGATTGTCGATTTCTCCTCGAAGCACCGAGCACAGATGTGGACAATCTTTCGTGAAGAGTTAGCTAACAAGCGACACCGAGACTTCAGCAAGATACGGGCTGTGTGACACCCTGGCATTGGACGCATGAGGACCGAGGCGGGAACTCGTCAATCTTGTTTGGAGAAGCGTCCCGATTTGGGTGTTGGAGGGGTGGTGGTTAATCTACGTTCCGGCGGTTCTCGCCCACCACCCCTCATGATCTGGCTGTCGAGCACCATGGCAGGGTCTTGTTGAACGTGGGAGACAATCTCTCACAGCCCGAGATTTTGACAGCGGCACAGCTGGTGTCGTCTAGGTTGGGCCCGAGGGATTTCTAGAACCTGGAGGTAGTAGTCTCGAGTTGCGGGAGCGAAATGAGGTTGACAGGGATGCTGCCACCTACTTGGACAAAGTCTCGTCAAAGTGTACGAATAGCCGTGAGCGTGACGAAGGGAGTCGACATGCAGGTACAGGCGGAGAGGGGCCACACAGTGACACGGCAGACAACGGCAGAGACTCGGGATTGGGCTTCATTCGTTATGGAGTTGTGTCCATGGATGATGGGACGAGGTTGCAATGTGAAGTTTGTGAAATTACGAGGGCGGTTCGAAATGCCCACTGGCCTTAGTAAGCCAGATATCGTGAGCCATAAGGCAAGGAAGGTGCATGCACACGCACTTACTGAAGACGACAGGAAGGAGATACCCTCAATTACTCCAAATAAGGCAGGAAGGCACTTTCACTTTTCCCCGCCCCAGGCAGGAGCACTTACCTCAAGTTTAAGGTATTTTATCGAGGTAGTTGTGGCCCCTCCCCCAGATTGGCAGGGCCGATCGACAATAAGGGCCCTTTCCCCATGAATACCATGAACTCGGAACGGAAACAAGGCACGGATCAATACTTTCATGTGCGTACCAAATCCAACTTTAAGGTTATTCTCACCGCAGAGAAACACATGTTTCTCTCCAACATCCATAATGGACAAACATAGACAAACCGGTAGCACACCAACGTGTGCTTCTTCCGCCCCAGACCGTAGACGACACTACAAGCGACGGCCCCTCTGCTTAGCGTGCGCCGTTGACCCTTGTTCCCCATCTCATCCTCTCCCCGAATCCCATCCCATCCCATGCCCGTTTCGTCCCATGCCCGTTGCAACCGTCGGTTCTGGTTGGCCTGGTCTGACCTGATGTCTGCCGCTGCGGGATGGGGTAACTGTCACGGTGCACCAATCCGATGGTTTCTCGCTCCAACGACTCCAAGCCGGGGTCCGGGGCAAAGGGGGATGAAGCTGGCCTAGAGCTTCCGTCTGCTCACCTGGGGGCACTCAAAGTCCTTCTCAATAGCGACTTGCTGCCCATCCTTGGCCATCCGACACCAACAACGCCCTCTAGGTTCCTCATAGGATTGCTTCCTCCGCATTTTATTTTCCCTCCCCCCTTCCTCCGCCTCCGCGACCATAATTACTGCTCCACAGCCGTGCATTCATCTCTTTTCGCTTTCTGTGTTCCGTCGTCTGCTCCCTTCTCCTCCAAGGTCCTCCAAAGAAACCGTGAAACGCCGCCTCGATAGCTTCGAGCCTGGTCTGACTGATACCTTTCGCCTCGAGTCACGCACACCCCCCAGTTCAGCCAAACCTAATCGCACCGGACCGGTCTTCGTCGATTCCAGCCTCGCAAACCGCCATCACATCGCAGCTATTTAGCCATCAGCCCGCCCAGTCGCCGCTTCAACTCAGACATCCACCTGACGCTCCACACACGTCTTGTGCTGCGCTGTCGCGGCGCACCACCATCTGCCCACCACGTCTTCCACCAAGCTTCTTCGTCTCCAGACGCAGCACGCCATGTCCCCGTCGTCGACGGGTGACTCCCCGCGTTCGGCCACGGGCAACGGTAACGAGGGGAGGTCTTTTCCCGTGCCGTCGCGCGAGGCCTTCAACGTCGACGTTCCCTCACCTTCAATGACCAACGGCATCCACCCTCTTAAGTCGCCCGCCTCGCTCAAGGTGCAACGAACGCCCAGTTTCAGTAGAGATGGTTTCCTAGGTTCCGTGCAAAAGGCCCGGAACATGTCTCAGTCCTCCGAGAACCGTCCCGATGCTCTGACCAATGGCATGCACAAGGCGCCCAGCGACGAGGGGTCCAACCCGCTAAAGAGGAGAAACACAGACGTTGGCCTCGACTACCCACGGAGGAGGGCCACCATTGCAGTATGTGAATTGAACAGTATGACAGACATCGTGAGCTAATCAACAACAGTGTGAAGTGTGTCGCTCCCGCAAGTCCCGCTGCGATGGCACAAAACCAAAGTGTAAGCTCTGCGCCGAGCTGGGCGCCGAGTGTGTCTACAGAGAGCCCGGCATCAAGCTGGATGCCGGGGATAAGCTGATTCTCGAGCGCCTCAACCGTATTGAAAGTCTGCTGCAGATGAGCATGGTCGCCGGCCAGGGAAACGGCATCGCCATGAACCAAGAGTCGCCATCGATGAGTAACGGATCAGGTCTCAACGGAGACAGCTTGATGGGCATACCAGGCTCAGGCAACGCTGTCTCCATCATCCCCAACGGCGGCCTGGGCACGTGGAACAACCCGACAAACATATCAACCATGCCCAAGATGCACACGAATGCGGCACTTCATCTTTTGCAATGGCCTCTCATTCGCGATCTTGTCTCTCGCCCGTATGACCCGCAAGTCCTGCTCCAGCTGGAAATGGCCCGCGAGCCTCTTCATTCGCTCACAAAGACGCCATGTGTCGACCTGTCCAACACGACCGCCTACATCGAGGCCTACTTTGAGCGGGTCAATGTCTGGTACGCCTGCGTCAACCCGTACACGTGGAGGAGCCACTACCGAACGGCCCTCTCCAACGGCTTCCGTGAGGGCGCCGAGAGCTGTATCGTCTTGCTGGTCCTGGCCCTGGGTCAAGCGAGCTTGAGAGGCAGCATCTCACGCATCGTCCCCGGAGAGGACGCTCCCGGGCTACAGTACTTCACGGCCGCGTGGGCGCTGCTGCCCGGCATGATGACGTCCAACAACGTCCTGGCGGCGCAGTGTCACTTGCTGGCTTCGGCCTACCTGTTCTACCTGGTGCGGCCCCTGGAGGCTTGGAACTTGCTCTGCACCACCAGTACCAAACTCCAGCTCTTGCTCATGTCCCCCAACAGAGTCCCTCCCAACCAGCGGGAGCTGACTGAGCGAATCTACTGGAACTCACTACTATTCGAAAGCGACCTGCTGGCCGAGCTGGATTTGCCACACTCGGGCGTCGTTCAATTTGAGGAGAACGTCGGCCTTCCTGGCGGCTTCGAGGGCGAGGAGCAAGAAGCGATTGGCCGAGACGACCTCTGGTACTTCCTCGCCGAGATTGCCCTGCGGCGGCTCCTCAACAGGGTCAGCCAGCTCATTTACTCAAAAGACTCGATGGCTTCCACCACCAGCCTGGAGCCGGTGGTGGCGGAGCTCGACTTTCAGCTGACGCAATGGTACGAGAGCCTGCCGATGCCGCTGCAGTTCCCCTTCACCCGCACCCTCCTCTCCGATCCGGTGCAGACCGTGTTGCGCTTGCGCTTCTTTGCTTGCCGGACGATCATCTACCGCCCGTACATCTTGGCCGTATTGGACAACGAGCAGGCCGTGCTGGACCCCGCGGTGCGCGACAGTTGCCACAAGTGCCTGGAAGCCTCCATCCGGCAGCTGGAGCACATTTCACAACAGTAAGTTCAAGTGCTGAATCATTGTCTTGTCATGACGCTAACTCGCCGCAGTCACGCCGGCCACATGCCGTACCTGTGGCAGGGAGCGCTCTCCATTGTATCGCAGACGCTACTGGTCATGGGTGCGACCATGTCACCCTCTCTGAGCAGTATCCTCCTCACCCTCGTTCCCCATAGGGAAACCATTGATCAGATCATCAACGACGTGGTCATGGAAATCGAGCGATACTCGACACTGGCCCCGAGTCTGAGCCTGGCAGCCGAAATCATCAAGGAGGCCGAAGTGCGAAGGAGGGCATACCTGAGCGGTTGAAAGCCGCTCGGCCCGCCCGCCTATTCGAATTGATCTAATTGTCTGCAGCGGACCACCCATCTCAAGAATGTGAACTGCGGCAGTCTCCAGCTCCACGTTGCTGACGGCCTTCAGTTGACGACTCTGCATCGAGCGCCCCGCCACCCGTTTGATCGGGAAAGCAGGCATACAATGGCAGCATCGCGTGCAAGCTACACTGAACCGGTGGAGGCATCCATCTGGGGTGCAGACAGAAATCCGGGGTCACGCCATCTGGAAATGGGGGTTGGACGTGGCCTGCGAACTGGCGTGGCTTGGTTGGCGGGTAATACTTGATCTTACACGGTATTCGGACCGAAATCCCGGCACGACCACCCACACAGCCAATGAGCCAGCCTGGCGCCAACCCATTTCGAGATGGCTCTGCCGCCGACCCCCGAGGATAGAAAGAGAGAGAAAGAGGCGATATGCTGTCACTTTTCCTGACGGACAAGTCTGACAGCGGCAGTACTCAGTGGCAGCACTCAGTGGCGCTTCGAGGTGGCTGGGGTCACCGACTCCACGACATACGGGCGTGGAAGGAACAAGACTTGACTTTGGGCGGTTCTGAAATTATACGAGCCTGCCATGGGTTGTCTTTGGGAGGACGGACAGTACACTTCTCTGGCCCGGGGACTTGGCTCCCAAAGAACAGGGCTGCCGAGATGTGGTGACATAGTAACTGTACAACATAGCACTGCCGATGAAGAAATACCCCATTTCCTGTCTGTACCTGGCAAAAGTGGTCCCAATTATCTATGCATCCATGGGTATGCGAATGTGACCATCTGGCCTGCGTTACAACTTAGAGCTGCAGACGTTGAATTCAACCTCGACCTCGACACCACCTGGCCGCGGCAACATCCTGAATGAAGAAGGTCAATGTGTTTCGACCTAGATTGCGCGGGATCTCGCGATTCGTTCACAGGTACACAGGCACACTTGGACGCGACCCCAACGACTCATCTATGCGGGGTAAGCTCAGTCCGCCCCCGCGGACACGGTTACTGTCGACTGAGGTGCATACCTAGAAAGGTACGCGAGAGTGAGGGGGGCTTTTGGTCACGCGGCGGTGCTGTGGCTGGCTTCTGTCGACGCTGGTAATAGGGTGTCTCCTCGTGATAGTACCTCGCAGCATACATTCCAGGCGTTCAAGTCCATTGACACGAGTTTTTTGAATCAGAGCGGGATCTAGATATCGTCATTACTCGAGGTAAATATGTGATCAGTATGAGGCGTTGAGAAGTAAAATGTATTCCTCGTCCGTAGCGCTGTGTCTCGCTCAAGCGCAGCATGGGGAGTATCGAAGGCCCTGGTGTACGCAGCTGTTGATATGCCGCCGGTATGTGATTCGGATGGCACCGCCGCGGCCTGATGGCACCGTGTAAATGGCCCCCATATTTTCACGAGTGCCGCATCTGCCGGTATGCGGGGCGGGGCCATCGGAGGGGGCCATCGGAGGGGCTGCATAGGACGGGGTCACGGGGTGGGGTTCCTGGCTGCGAGGGAAAGAGAAGACGGGATGGATCCACCAATCGATTCCGTCTGTCTTTCCAGAACGGTGATGGATGCGAAGCGTCCTGGTCTTTTCTGCCCAGTTGCCCGGCGCAAGGGGGTCTGAATTTTCTTTTCTATCTATCTGGCGCGGGATGCGTACCTAGTACGACAGCGATGTCGGAGAATAGCAAGGCACATGCAAGATTTGAAACCACGGAGAGGGATGCCGCCTTTCACGAGACCTGAGGGTGGTGAGGGCAGGCGGTCTGATATCTGGTAGACCGTGGTGGTGTGGATGTGTGGTCTAGGAAAGAATCAAGACGAGTCGCCAGCCAAGGCTGAATCAATGAATCGAGAGGCATTGGAAGAGGAAAAGAAAAAGCAAAAAGCAAAACTAGTCGTTTAGTGGCCGATGTGTCGAGGCGGTCTGCAGACGCCAATGACTCGGGGGAGGGCGTAACGGTCCGGGTCGGCCCCACCTGTGCCAATCGGCCCCGTGGGTAGCTCCGATCTACCTTTTTTTTCGTAGCCCGGCCGAAAATGAGTGGATCGGACACCCCAATTTCAGCATGCCCTGCAGTGGGAAGAAGACGATGGAGACTTTTCGTGATTAGGGTACAGGAGTATGTAGACCCTCGAGGAGGAAAGATTATCCTGGACGCATGAATAGCCAATGTTAAATGCAGTGCATGGCCCCCCTTTCACGACATGAGACTGTCGGCCAAATCACAGCGTCCGTGTGCTGGGCCGGCACCGCTGCCGCGGGCTGGGATCCCTGTGGACGTGTGTTGGGCGGTGGAATGCGAGGGCTGAGGCACGTGCGCTTCAGGTCTGATGCTGCGGCGAGCGCGGCGGTTCCCTCGCTTGAGGGTGCGAGGTACGGGTGCAGTAGGCGAGCTTAGGTAAGGCAGCTGAGGTGAGACTGTGAGGTTGAGAGAAAACGGTGGCGGGCAATCCCCTGCAGGGACGCTGAGTACAGGGCTCAGCACCGCTGCACCACCCGCTAGCTTGCCGCCAGTCCACCCACACACACCCTCCCCGTTAGGCTGGCTTAGGTTCGCCTCATGGTTAGGTTTGGGCTGTCAAAGAGGCATGCCGCTCCCGCGCTGTAGGCGTACATCGGACTGGCCGCTAGCTGGGACGACTGTAAGACGCTTGTTAGCCCGTGTTGACGGAGTACCTATGGACACCAGGAGTCAGGACGGTGGTGCAGGGACTCTCGTGGTTTGGTGGGAGGCTGGAACGCGACGAACGAACGAGGGGGCCGGTCCATTCGAACACGAGGGCGGGTCAAACTGAAAACTTCCTGGCTGCTATGTTCTGGTCCTCTTGGATTCAAGGGGGGGGGGGCATAGTCAGACAGAGGCGGATAGAGGCAGAGACAATTGGATCTGGTTGTAGACTTGGGATTGGATGTGAATGAAGGAACGAATACAGAGAGGAGGCGTAAGGTGAAGCTCACCACCCCCGCCGCCAGCAGTGGGCGCCAATCGATTGCGCTGTGCCTCGGTGGCGCCCTGTTCCTTCCAGTGGCAGCTCTTCAATGACTCCTGAGACCTTCACTGGAAGGTGAGTCTTTGCCGGGCTGTCACAAACGTCCACTTCTCTCTCTCTCTATCGTCTCTTGTGCTCTCCCATCTCTGCTCTCCTTCACCTCACTTGGACCTTGCGTCAAGCTGCCAGCCCTCTCGCACATGGGATCGATCCAACTAAACTGATCCTTCGAGCCGTGATCCATCGAAACATATCTCCCTCTCGATATCCACAAGTCTCCCCCGTCCGACCAAACAGCTTCCGCTGCTGCCCGATTGATACCTCACCGAGGGGCACCAACCGACGAGACGAGAGACGAGGCAAACAAGTTGCGGCTTGCCGTCGTCAGTTGCAGGACACATTCACGAGAGAGAGAGAAAAAAAAGAAAGAAAAAAAGCAGGGCGCGCGTGTGCATGTCTGATATGCAACCCGCCATTCAAGCCCAATCACCGCTCCACGGCATGCATTGAAACCACCCACTCACGAGCAACCAGCTGTCAGGGTGCACGCAGAACGCAGCACACCAGCACACTCTTTCTCGACACTAGACCGACCTTGGAGATCCAAGGCCGTGAGACCCTCACCACACGTCCCCCGACTCCCGACTCCCGCTACCGCTCTACCGCTCCCGCTCCCCTTTTCCCACCACCCTCAAAACTCGTCGCACTCCCGGATGAGGCTGGCCCCAGCCCAATGGCCTATCGAGATGGCGCAGAGTTGCACAGGAGAACGAGCCATCGGCGGCATCCTCCCAGCCCGCCGCAAATGACCGACTATGATTGGCACCCGATCCCTCACCCCAGCGTCGCTGCCGAGTCCGCCTATGACCCGATGCCCTACCGGAGACCCAGAGACTTTATACAAGGGCCCGACAGCACGAGCTCGCCCTCGCCCTTGGGACCACCACCGAGAAGAATCGTAAAGCTCAGCAGTGCGCCTCCCACCCCAGGAGCCACGATGCCCAGAACCCCAGGAGCCGGTGCTCCGTATAGAAGGGGAAGGGTCCCGGTGAACAATGACTACCATTCGTACGACGACGATGAGGAGGACGAGGACGAAGAGGAAGAGGACGACGACAGTGAGGAGGAGTCTCCCCTAGCCAGGCGGCGGCAGCAGTCTTCCATTCGACACCGTAGCCGCAGCACCGCCCCTCACTCGAGGACGCGGCCGGTCTACGAGTCGAGGCGGTCGTCGAGATATTCGCGGTCTGAATCGGAGTCGGATTCGGATGAGGACTCGGAAACGAGCGACTCATCGGAGGAGGAGAAGCGGGAGACACAGCGAGAACGAGAAAGGCGGGCGCGGGAGCGGGAGAGGTACCAAAAGGCAGCACGCCATACCCAGACCATTGTCGAACGGCGAACGCCCCCATCAGCCGACAATACACCAAAGCGCCGTAGAAAGATTAAGAAGATCATCTACATGGAGGAGGACGGCTCTACGGAGCCCACGCCGCGGCAATCCTTGGGCGACCTCAGCCGCTCGTCCTCGCGACACCGCTCCCACCCGTCGTCCTCGCGTCCAACGTCCGAGAGACACTACCCCAGACAGCATTCCTATAGTCCTGTGAGGAGATCAAGCCGCCATCACTCGTCGGCGAAAACGTACGAGATCTCTCAGCCTCCCAGCGCCACCAAGAGGCTGGCATACGAGATACTCCCGGATAGGGGTCGTCTTGATGTGACTCCCAGTAGGCATTCCAGGAGACACCAGTCTCAGGTTGTGTACCCAGAGACGCGGTCGATCCGCCGCTCCAACACCGTATCGGGGGCATCGCATGTCACGTCGCACACGCGAAGCACGACCTCGTCGAATAGGCCGTCGTCTACTTTTGTGGGAAACGTGCTCACGGGGAGCACCGTTTCCCGCTCGTCAGAGAAGCCAGCGAGGTAAGTCGTCTGAAGCTGTATGTCCGCACCAGCTAACACCATCCAGGGTCGAGTGTCTTGCGTGTATGGAAGAATTCCAGCCGAGTAGAATCGCAAAATTCAAGTGCGGTCATCGAATGTGTGATCAGTGCCTCAGAAGACAGTTTAAACTCTCCACCACCGACCCACAGCACATGCCTCCAAAGTGCTGCACCGCAAACATCCCCTTGAAGCACGTGGACCACTTGTTCTCGGCCGACTTCAAGAAGAAGTGGAATAGAAAGTTTTCAGAGTTTACAGCGGCCAACCGCATCTACTGCCCGTCGAGAAGGTGCGGCGCGTGGATCAAGCCCGAAAACTTCCGCAATGAAGGGGGAGGTCGCCAGTCCGCCAAATGCGGCCATTGCAAGGTCAAAGTGTGCTGCTCCTGCAACGGCAAATGGCATTCGTCGAGGGAGTGTCCCAGTGACGAAGAGACGACGAGGTTTCTGGACCACGCCAAGGGCGAGGGATGGAAAATGTGCTACAAGTGCAATCACATGGTTGAGCTCAAGGAGGGCTGCAACCACATGACATGGTGAGAAAAGCTTGATTCTTTCGTGTGATGTCTCTGCTGACCAGAACAGCATTTGCGGAGCGCAGTTTTGCATGGTGTGCGGCACCAAATGGAAGAGCTGCGATTGCCCTTGGTTCAACTACGAGACGGCGGACGCGGAGCGGCTTAACGAGATGCATCTGCCGTTGGCGATGGGCCGAATGGAGCGGCCGGGGCTGGGCACCGAGACCCCGAGAAGCGCGAGAAGCATTCGATCAGCCGACGTAGGGCACACGACGCCTCGTTCGCGATCCCAAGAGTACGATAACAGACTGATGCGGAGGTTCCAAGAGAACCGCGACGAAGACCTCGCGAGGACGATGCAGACGTACGAGCTCGACGACGCGTATGACCGAGGGTACGGAGACCTCGTGAGCATGGGCAACACGGCGGGCCATTATCTGAACGAAGACTATCGCAGAGAGCCCGACGTATTCGCATCCGCACCCGTGCCGCCTGCACCAACGCCACCGGCGGCGTTTGAGCGACCGCCGCCAACGGACTACATGTCGGGTGTCAACCGGGCGAGAGGCCTCCCCCAGGATCCTCTGGGGCAGCGATTGGCTGAGCGGTTCTCCGAGTCGCGTTCGAGTCCAGGTGGTCCCCGGCCGGGTATGATGCCGCCGCCGCCGCCACTGCCACCGCTCGCGGCCATGACAGCTCCCATCATGGGTCCTCCCCCTCCCATGATGGGGCCAATGGCCATGGGCCCGCCGCCCCCGATGCCGCCGCCGCTGCCGATGCTGAGACGGCACACGATGGAAGAGGAGTTATACGCAAGCGTCAGATCGATGCGGCCGTCCGAGCGGGTGGCGCCGGGGCGGATGATACACGACTACGAGATGGAGGCGGCGGCGCACGCGCACACCCCCCGGAGCCGGAGACGAATGCGAGAGGAGCCCAAGTCGTCGACGCTCGCCGGGCTCACGGGCATTGGCCGCGGCGTGAACCGGGTGCATGAATGGCGAAACTACGTGTGGCCTGGTAGGCCTGAGGATGAACACGCGGCCGTAGCGTGATGCAGATGAGAAGAGGATCGGTTTTACGACAGATGACAGAAAAAACAGCGAAACACAGCACACAGCACACAGCACGACTTATGATTTGCGATTTTTCCGGCCACGTTTCTGTTCCATGTTGCGCGTTGCGGGTTGGGGGCAAGGCTGTCTGCTTTATTTTTCATGGTAGGGGGGTGGGTGGGTTATTACTTATGAATGTAATACTAAAGGCGTGATATATCCTCGGGATGGAACATGGTATTTAGGGCGGCGTGGTTTTCTCGGGGAATCATAGGCAAGGTAGTAACGAAACGAAGTTTTAACGAAGCATAACATTGGATTTTGTTTCCCAGTGACTTGCCTTTGTCTTGCCTTGCTCAGGTCAGTACAGCAAAGCAAAGGTAAAGCACAGCTGGCTCGGCTCGTTTCTCATGTGAACTCTCTTGCCTCGGTCGGTTTGCGGTGGTTCAGAGATTTTTATGTTTTGCTCGGATCGCGGCCGTCTGATGTCGGGAGCCAAGGAGGGACGGGACGTAGAGGATGCCTATTTTGGATCATGGGCATGTCTGCGTTGTGAGTTCTTTTTGTGTGCTTCTTTTGGGTTGTTTGTATGTGTCGACCCTGTTGTTTTGATGTGTTGTTGATGGACTCGTTGTCTAGTTGGCCTGTGAATAAGATGCTCGTGTGGGTATGGTACTCTATCTGTGAGAGATATCGAAGCTTTGACGGACTTGGGTCCGGGGTTGTGCGACTGGGTTCATTGCGTTGGACCTTGGACCTGGAAAATTGAGGCGTTGGCTGACTGGTTTGTATGTGCGTGGTTCATGTTGATGTTCCCCGCTGGCTGGCTCATGACGTGGACGCTGGGTGAGTGGTTTTGCATTGACGGGCTTATTTCGCCAGCTCAGGCACGTGTCAGGGTGTTCCTGCCTGGTTTGGGGCTTTTTTTTTTTTGTATGTGATGCCACATGCCCCCGATCTCACTGAGGAGTACCTAAGCATGAGATGGGATGAGATGAGATGTGTTGCGACCCATCGTTGCATTCACCCGACGTACTCGCATATGAGCGCGCACGTCCGTGATGGAAAGTATAAGATGGGAGTAAAGTAAAGTGAAGTGAGTGGTGCGGTACGTCGGATTTCTCATGCGTAAACGCTGTCAACTCTGTGAGGCGCAGAGGTTCAGTGGTTGAGTAACGCAGTAAAGAGAGTTTGGGGCAGCGTTGGAGATGGATGAGAACCCCCCCCACCAATGGACATCTCGATTTGATGTTCCATCGATGGGAGTCTGGCGTGGTTCACCCTGGTAAGAAACAGCTCCAATTAGGCATGTGTAAGGTCCCAGACGGTGGGATTTTAGGCTGGACTGATCTCTTTTGCTTGCGGCTTGCTTGCGGCCTTGGCGGGGGGAGTTTGACTGGTGACAATCTGTGTCGAGAGAAGTATGGCATTCTCAACTTTTGCTTGTCATGAGTCGTGAGCATGATTTGAGAATGAAGTGAGTTGCCACACTATCTAGGTACTGATGTGTACATTTCATCCATCTCACAAATCTCACCCTTCTCACAGATCGGATCGTGTAGAAGTGTAATCGATGACCTGAATTTCATCGACGCCCGCCAAGCTTTGCGAGGAGTGACCCTGCTGTGCAATGAGGCGACGAGAGTGAGCACGTCGTGTGAGGTGGACTCGTGGATCTCGGAGAGTTGTAATTTGAAGCGGGCATGGCGGGGTTGTAGATGAGGTATCTATTGTATGATTTTAGTGTTAAAAGATACTCGAAAGCTTAGCACTCGCTTGCTGTCTTGTCTGTACGGAGTAGAAAGAAGAACTGGGACGGGAGAGAGGGGGGGGGGGGGGGGGGGGGGGGCACCCAGGGCTGCCGAAAAGGCTTCGCCCTCGCCCAATTGGCAATGACGTTGACGTTGTCTGTGCGTGCTGTACGCTCTTTAGCGGGGACACCCAAACCGAAGCACCCACTGCCCACCCACGCAACCGTGGCACACCCCTGTCCCTGGTCTGCCGGATCCCTCGTGCTCTTTTTTTGCCCATCCGGCGCCCATCGCTCTCGGGCTGCTCGCTGCATCTTGCTGGCCGCTCTCGTCGGGGAGTTCTGCATTCTACCTTACCATTATGCAAGCTTCGCCCTACCTTTTTACTTTGAGCACATCAACCTGGAACTCGACATAACGTACCTTACCTCGTGCCAGCTGTACTATCCGGGGGGCACAGGGCCATCTAACCGCAAGCTCCGTGTTTCTCCCCCATTGCCCATCGTCTTTCTCCTTTCCCCATCTTACCTACACGTACGGATACCTACAAAGTCTACAAAGTACACCCTCCATTACAACAGCACGTATTCGTCCCTCTACCGGATTATCCTACCTCGGGTTACACCTCACATGCCCTCTCGAATCTTCCTCAACCCTTGCCTCCGAAAGCAAGACGGCTCACGCGATATCGGCTTCTATACGTATTAAAACATCCTGAGCTCCAAACCGTGCGATTCGCGGTTTTCTTCACCCACAGCTCGTCGAAACTCGCCCCCTTCCCTCGATTCGAATCCATCAGAGATGACGGCGTCGACAACGAACCGAAAGTAGACAATCACCTTCCCCCCGGCGGCACAATGCTCCTCGTATACCAGGTCGGGAGCGTCAAGATCGGAGAGGTCGTCCGCTACACCGTCACCTACACGCCCTCGCAGGACCGAATCCTGCCCTCGCCCGAGCGCCTCTACCTGCGCGTCCGCAACACCTCGGCCATTGCCCTGCGCGCCGCCTTCGTCCACGGCCCTTACACGCTGGGCGCCGCCGCCTACCCGTCCAACTTCAACCCCAACGTCAAGTTTGCGAACCCCCGCCGTTATGGCGTGCCCGAATTCGAACCCATGCTCAAGGCCGGCGGCTCGTGGGAGTGTGAGCTGCTCGTGCCGGAGCACATAAGGCAGAGCGCGGGTACCGGAGGTGGCGCACATTTCGGCGGCGGCGGCGGGGCATCCGGGCAACCCGGGGAAACCGAGACCGAGTGCGCCTCGTGGATCGTAGAGGTGTCGTCGCAGGTCATCTTCTCCACCTCGGCCGCCGTCGGGTACGAGGTGACCATTGCGAGGGACGCCAAGTCGCTCAACCTCAGCTCGTCGCTGCCCGTCATCGGCGGCCAGGCGCAGGTACCGCAGCCCGGCAAGGTCGCCGATCACCAGCAGAGCGTGGGCGCCAAGGACGGCCACCATCCGGCGCAGCCGAAGGGCGTCTTCTCCAAGGCGATACGGCTCAAGGTCGAGGACACAGCCGCGTTGTGGAACACCCCGAGGCTTCCGGGCTGGGACGACCTCAACATTGACCGCCTCAAGAGCCGCGCGAAAAAGGACCAACCCGTGGAGAGTGTCGTCACCCAGGATAGGCCGGCGGAAGAAAAGCCCGAAATCAAGCAGAAAAAGGTGCACCTGGTCGTCCTCACCCATGGCCTGCACAGCAACCTGGGGGCGGATATGCTGTACCTGAAAGAGAGCATTGACCAGACGGTAGCACAAGCAAAGATTGATGCCAAGGCCCGGCGTGCCAAGGAGCGCGCTGAGAAGAATGACACTGACGGAGACAAGACCCAAGATGACAGCCCTGCGGAAGACGACGGTGACGACGAAGAGGTCATTGTGCGAGGCTTCTCGGGCAACGCGACAAAGACTGAAAGGGGTATCAAGTACCTGGGTAAGAGACTGGCTAGGTACATCCTGTCCATGTCGTACCCCGACCAGCCATTCTTGCCCTCGAAGAAGGGACACGCAGAGACCGCCGTCTCTGCCGTTTTCAACAAACCAGATTCAGACAGCAGCAAGGCGGCCCACAAGCACAGCACGATACACGAAAAGGTGTCGGACGAAAAGCGTCCGTTCAAGATTACCAGCATCAGTTTCATTGGGCATTCTCTTGGGGGTCTGATTCAAACATACGCCGTTGCATACATACAAAAACACTCGCCAGAATTCTTCACCATAATTAAACCAATCAACTTTGTCGCCCTCGCCACACCCTTCCTCGGCCTCAGCAACGAGAACCCCTTGTACGTCAAGTTCGCCCTGGACTTTGGCCTGGTCGGCAGGACGGGTCAGGATCTCGGTCTTACGTGGCGAGCGCCCACCATTGCGAGGAGCGGGTGGGGAGCCATTGTCAGCAACCTGGGCGAGAGCGCACACAAGAGGGTCATGGGCGAGGTGCAGCCCGAGTCGAAGCCTCTGCTGCGGATTCTACCGACGGGTCCCGCGCACACGGCGCTCAAGAAGTTCCGCAATCGGACGGTCTACTCCAACGTTGTCAACGACGGCATCGTGCCGCTGAGGACGAGTTGTCTCTTGTTCTTGGACTGGCAAGGACTGGGACGTGTGGAAAAGGCGCGCCGGGAGGCCGGCTTGGTTGAGACGCTGGTTGGCGCCGGCTGGGCCGAACTGACGGGCGGCAGTCTGGCACCGACACCGAGGAGATCTAGCGCCTTCCTACCACCAGACGAGGCAGAGGTGTCGGACGACCACTCTGGGAATATCACGCCTACGGCACCGACGGATGCTGTCGAGGTACCGCAGCCACCATGCAATGCCATGGTCGAAGACGACCGAGCGAGTCTGCGGTCGGTGCCCACGCCGTTCAACGAGAGCGGCCCTGAGGGTGCCAAGGAAACAAAAAACGGTCCGTTTGCCGGCTTCTTTTCCCTGTTCAAAGGCAGCGAGCAGACGCAGACCAAGACGCAACCAAAGACGCCCAGCATGTCCAACAAGCAGAACAAGATTTACAAGCGCAGTCAGACAATCAACTTTGACGAGATCCCGCAGACATCCGGCACAAAGGTTACTGCGGGCCACGAGCTGGAGCGGGACCAGCAACACGTCGCGCCGCCGAGGACGAGCTTCTTCGAGTCTGCGCACGACCTGATCAACCCCAAGATCCCGACGACGGAGTACCTCATCGACCCATCGAAGCGACCCAGGGCCATCTTCCACGACCGCGTGTACCACCCGAGTGACATACCACCCCCACCATTAAAGAAGAAGCCCACCGGATCGCTGGCGTCTCGGAGAAGCACGTTCCGAAGGGCTGCCTCGACGGGGTCTGGCGGTTCGAGGACCAGCACGGACTCGTCACCCCACCCGTCGCAGCGCTTCTCGCACGAGGGCACGATGGACTCGACGCGGGACTACGACGACACGATCAACACGAACTCCGACAAGGGCCCCGACGAAGAGATTGACGGGTCGCAGATGCGGGTCGAGGAGAAGATTGCTCGAGCCTACCACCGCGGTCTGGCGTGGCGCAAGGTTTTGGTGAAGCTGGAACCCGACGCGCACAACAACATCATCGTGCGTAGGATGTTTGCCAACGCCTACGGTTGGCCAGTCGTCAAGCACCTGGTCGACGCACACTTTAGCGACTCCGCCACGGCGAGAACGCGCGACGAGGACGCGGGGTCCGACGAGCTTGCGTTGGACGTGGGCCAGGCGCCGAACAAGTACGGCGACGAAGTCAGGGACAGCGGCGTGGGGTCGACGGGCGGCGACGGATCCGACGAGAGGCCGATTGTGGGGATGTTGTCTCCCAACTCGCAGCGGGAAGCGGCGGACCGGGTGCCGGATATGCAGGCGCCGCCGAAACGGCGCTCGTCCTCGCGCAGCTCGTCGGCTAGCCCGCCTAGGATCACGCGGTCGACGAGGCCGCAGCGGCCTGAGAGGGTTGATTCCATGACGTGGAGTGATCGGGATTGGGCGGATGATAGCGACGATAGCGAGACGACGGCGACGACGGCGAGCGTCAAGAGTCCTACGGTGGCCGAGTTCAAGGATAAAGAGGGGAACCGGTCGCCGACGCCGCTTGGTGGGTGGAATTGGACGGAGAAGATTGTCGGGAGGGGGGGATCGAGTCGGAAGACGTCGCCCAAGCCGGAGACTCAGGCTGCCAAGGGGGATGTCAAGGCTGATGTCAAATCTGATGTCAAACATGAAGTCAAGGACGATGCCGTCAACACCGACGATGTCAAGAGCGATGACGGCGGCGTGGACTAATGATGGCTGGAGAGGACCAGCGTGCACATGAGAAATACCTACACTACATATATGCTTTTAATCGATGAGATCACGTTTTGATGACTTTATTAATATCATGAACCTTCATTGTATCAAGTGTCAGCTATCGTGAAGTGCAATCGTATCAATCGCCGGCCAAGTTGCGATTTCGTTGCGATCCATTAGCGAGGTACGAGGCAACATTGTGCCAATATCACTGCAAGGCATGTACCCGACTATCAGAAGATGGGCGTCCGGGACCCTTGCAACTTCCCGCTTGCGTCATCGGAGAGTGGAAACACACTTACAAACATCTTGTCAGTTACAAAACTCGGTCTCAAAAACCCGAGTTTCGACAGATAAAGTCAATCATGTCGATGAGACTGCCGTCTCTCAGATTCCTCAATGGAGTCGCACGAATTTCTCGTAGAGGCTTCTCGACCTCCCCCGCGAGAGCCGTCGACTTCACCCATGTTGTAAGTTTCCCGCAAGTTTCCCGATATCAAATCTCACCATCACAACCTCCAAACACCAACACTAACACAACCCCCAGGTCATAGGCGGCGGCGCAGTAGGCCTCGCAACATCCCACCGCCTCGCCACCCGCCCAAACACCTCAACCCTCCTCCTAGAACGCCACACCGCCGTCGGGACCGAAACGTCCTCCCGCAACAGCGAGGTCATCCACGCGGGCATCTACTACGGCGCCGGAACCCTCAAGACGGCCCTCTGCGTGCGCGGGAAACACCTCTTGTATGATTTCTGCAAGAAGCACCACGTAGGACACGCCAATACTGGCAAATGGATCGTCGCGCAGAACGAGGTCCAACGAGAGGCGCTACAGCGCGTGCATGATTTCTGTACAAAGGAAATTGGTGTCCCTGTTCGGTGGGTAAGCGAAGAGGAAGCGAAGAGGGAAGAGCCGGAAGTTCAGGCGCTGTCTGGCGTGCTCGAGTCTCCGACCACGGGCATCGTCGATTCGCACGGGTTAATGGTCGCCTTGACAGGCCTCTTTGAAGACGCAGGCGGTGTAGTGGCACTCAATTCCCACGTCGTGGGCGTCACACCCCTAGGCACTCACGGGTCCCAAGGGTGGGAAGTCAAAGTCCGCGACCCATCAACAGGAGAAACGAGCTCCATCACGACAGAAACCCTCGTCAACGCCGCGGGCTTGGGCGCAATCGACATCCACAACATGATTGTCCCGCCCCCCCGCCACCGACAAATGTTCTACGCAAAGGGGAACTACTTCTCCTACTCGGGCGGCGGCAGCAAACCCGCCCCCAAAATCAAGAGACTAATCTACCCGGCCCCCGAACCGGGCGCCGGCGGGTTGGGGACGCATCTCACGCTCGATCTCGCGGGCAGGGTACGTTTCGGACCGGACGTGGAGTGGGTCGATGCACCCGACAATCTAGCCGTCAACGGCGCGCGGCTGCCCGAGGCCCTGGAGGCGATTAAAAAGTACCTGCCTGGTCTCGACGAGAGTGCCCTTGTGCCGGATTACGCGGGGATACGGCCAAAGCTGGGGCGGAAGCAGGCTGTTGCCGAGGGCAGCGGGTTCCATGACTTTGTTGTCCGCAAGGAGGACGGGTATGAGGGGTGGGTGAATTTGCTGGGCATCGAGAGTCCCGGGCTGACGAGCTGTTTGGCGATTGCCGAGCGCGTTGATGAGATTGTGTACGGGTAGCAGTGCGATGTAATGGACAAGATGTCTTCATTCTGGGTCTCCAACGCAGATCCATCGACCTTGAAAAACGCTACAATATCCTATGCTCTGCGAGACCATATATTACACGCGAAACAAAAATCATCGGACCAGAGCATACAGTCCGCATGTTACAATAAACACCAAAATGACGCTGCAGACTTTTCATAGAGAATGCGTGTGTAAATGTCGTCCCTCACCAAATCATAAATCATGTAAAAACTCCGCCGCACCGTTTACCCCGAGGGCAGCTGTGTCATTTTCGGCTGTACAGTCAATCCCGCCATTCCCAACGCCGGCAAAGGATAGTACAAACTTCACGCGCTACCGTAACGTCAAGCTGGACTGGAACTTGCGGCCTTGAACGTCGACGTGGAACTCATAGATGCCGTTTTCCGCACCCACGTACCTAATCGGTTAGCTTCACTCACTGCGCATCCAAAGACCAACTTACAAGACTCTGCCATCCTCGCTCCACGAGATCCCGGCCGTGTTGTCGGGCTCGGGGGGTGCTTCGTGGACGCCGCGCTCGGCCATGCGCTGCTCGGCCATTCGCTGCTCGCCCCGTCGGCGCAGAAATTGGCTGCGCTCCAGTTGCCGCAGGATATCGTGGTCGCGCTCCATCTCACGCATGTTGACGCTATTGAGAAGCGGCAGGATTTCTCTGTTGCGGTCCTGGACGGCTTGCCGGAGATCCTGAATGTTGCTCTCAAACGACATGGTGTAGAGCGCTTCCAGGTCTGCCCAGCCGCTCCCCGCCGGTGTCAGGCTGCGCAGACCGCTTGACCCACGCTGTGTCGTCGCCAACGCTTCACTCGGGCGTATGCTTGCCGAACGTCGCGGTGGGTGAGGAGTCGCCAGGCCTAGGTCTCGATCAGAGCTGGACTGCAAGTCCATCATGCTGTCCCGGCTCGAATTGGACTGCAGAATGAGACGCTGAGCCGTGCGTATACGTTCCTGCGCCCGCTCTCTCGAATCTCGAATGTTGCCGAGGAGGTCTCCAATGGCCCTGGACACGTTTTGATTCGAGTCATTACTGGGCTCGCCCGCCTCATGGTCCAGGCTCACGCGCGCCGCCATTCTTTGAGCCCTCTGCGCCACTTGAAAGTCCCGCTGCGCTTGAATCTCTCGCTGCGCATTCAGTCGTGGGCGTGCCAGTGTCTCGGGGTCAATACGGGCACCTCTCCCACCCATGGGAGGCATGCCTGGAAAGAATTGTGGTGATCCCTGCTGAGATGTCTGCTCTGCCATTCGCGCCGCGATCCGGTCCCTCTGCTCTCTCCTACGGCGGTCCTCTTGCAGGGCTTCGAGCACACGCGTCTCGTCGGGTGTGAGTGCTAGATGCTGGCGTCCTGCACCGTCAAGTCGCCGCCGCCTGCTTTCGCTGGCCTCTGGCAGGATGGACGACAGAGTATCGTTCGGTTCGCCACGACCCTCCAGCAGCCGCGGGTCAATCGTAGCACGATCAAGAACAGGAATTTGGTCGTAATCTTCGGTGGCGCTGATGTCCAGGATTTGACGTTGCACGAACCCGCTCCTCAGATCCGCGATACCAACGTGGCCACGGTCTTCGGTCCAAGCCAGGAGGTCATACGGCCCAGGACAAAAAGCCATGTCGCGGACCGCACCCGACCCAGCCATCGGCCGCGATGACGTAAAGGACGTTAGCAGCGGATCGGCAACATCCGGATCGGTCAGGCTCGCAACGTCAAACACCGAAATGGTGCCGTATTGTGTCCCGACAGCCAGATACGCCCCCGTGTTGGAAAAACACGCCGCGAAACTCCCCCTGCTATCGGAGCTGTCGTTGCGACGCTGGCTCTTGAGCAGAATCTTGCCGCACAGCTCCCAGCGGTACTCGACCTTGTCGTCGTTCCGGAACGGGCCGCTCTCGTCGATTGGTGCCTCGGTGCGATGGTGGATATACAGATACGGGTCGTCGAGGATTGCGCACAAGAGGCGACCATCGGGCGAGATGATGGCTCGATTGACGTAGTCGGGATACGTCACTATATCCAGAGGCTCGAGCTTGTCCTGGTTATCAAAGTCGCGCAAGCCGACCAGAACGACCGTCTTGTCGTTGTTTGCCAGGACGGCGGCGGACTCTGTGTATGCTCCGTGATGCATGGGGCCGGCTGCTGGTGGGAACCACATGGTTATGCAGTTGACGCGGTCGCGCGCGAGCTTTTGGCTCTTGGCAATGACGCTCTTGTCCAGCCTGCTGCTCATATTCAGCCGCCGCGCCTGGCTGAGGATCCCAAAGACGGTATCTGGCGGTCGAGGGGATTCCGAGTCTGTCCCCATGCCGAGGGGTAACCGCGCGTCGGGTTCCAAGTTGAGTTGCAGATCGAGATTGTTGTCATCGTCGCTAACGCTGTCCATCTGGATCGCCGTAAACTCGCCCGTTTCTCCTCCGCAACAAACCCAGCCGTTCTCGGCGACTAGACATCGTGGCGAAAAGGACAGGAACTTGACCGTCTCGCACTCCTTGGTCGTCGTGTTGAGCCGCTGGACGTGGTTGCTGCCGGCGCCCCCAGGGAAGTAGACAAAGTTTTTTTTCTCGGCGCTGATGAGCGATCGTAGCTGCCAGTGTCTGTATGTGGTCAGTACTTGAGGTATGTGGTGCGCGCGAGGTGGAAGCGGACGACGGAGACGCACTGGGATCGGACAGGGATGCGGTAGTGTTTCCGCGGCTTCTTGGAGATCAAGTCGTTTGTCGGATAGTATCTGCAGCGAGTCAAAGTCAGTCTGGCATGGTCGAAACAATTGCAATGTTGGGAGACATACGAGACGCCATCTTTCACAGCCATGATGGCTTATGGAGTGGCCAGAAGGTTCGTCCGTGGGAAAGTAAACATGTAGGTGCCGAGGCACGCGTATTCGAGCAGAGTCGCCAGTGCAATCAATCCCACCCGCGTGCTGAGCGATGACAGTGACGACAGGGCGGTGAATACACAGCGACTGATGAAGCCGTGGGATGATTCGGGGTGCCGGATGTTTGGGGACGATGCGATGTGAATTGCGCGAGACGAGAGGCAACTTCCCGCATGACGTCCGTGTATGGCAGGAGGGGCCTGTTCTGCTTTTCGCCTTCGTCCTGGTTGGTTGGCTCGCTGCCTGCGAATACAGTGGCCTGCGCATGCGGAGTACAGTGGTAAGCTACCTAAAATTGGGCGACCAGGGGTACCTCTGCAGCACGTACCCTGGGCAAGTGCCTCGGGACGGGAGCTTGGGCTGCTGCTTACCCAACGAGGCACTTTGCTTACCTCTTGGAGTCCTGCACCTAGGTAGTTATGGTAAGGTCGGTACCTCATTAGCAGGTAGTTTGGGGTCTAAACAGACGTCCAATCCGATTGTTGGTTGATTCTGTTAGCTAAAAGACGCCATTTCAACACGGGGTTTTCTAGCGCTTTAACGGGGTATCTTTTAATGATCCAAGTAATTAGTATCAAACCACCTCGATGCACCGCAACCTACGGCAAGGTAGGCTTTTCTTCTCCATCAAACTCGGCAAATATCCGTCCAGCCTCCTCCACCAATCGTCAATTCCCATCTCAAATTGAGTAGCAAATCTTGCCGTTTATGGGCCCCTTTGCGATCCGTGGCCTCCACCTGTTTCTTTGGTGGTACCTCGCGACAGGTGCAACTCAGCTGTTTAGACTTGTGTCGAGAGTAACATTCTAGAGAGAAGGCCTGATTCCCAGACCTCTTAATTCGGATAGATGAGCACTTGTCAATGAGGACCATCATTGATCAATGAAAACCGCACTGCCGTGCTGTGTTGTGTCTCACCCAAGTACTTCAGGCTCGCCTCGGTCAACTGACAGATCGTGAAGAGCCGAGTTATGAGTTGAACAAGATGATTCTTTTCGGACTTCATGAAATGCACTAGAGTTGATCATCTTCCTAAATGTCCAATGACCAGCCAGCGCAGGCAAAGAAGACTTCATCTACCATATTGGTTTCGGAATCCTCCTACCGACGCCAAAGCACCACCGCCAATCAACTGTTTGAAGTTCTGCTGATTCTCCGGCAGCAATCCTCAACCCAGTATGCGGCCAAAGTACCCGAGAGCCACATCGGATGAAAAGGGGACAATCTGCCCCTACAATTCCCAGACCCAAAGCACCTTCATTGATGTGTTGAGAGCTGTCCGAGGGAATTGCAGCTTCCGCAACACCCAGGCGAAGCTCTGCGTCGCGCCAGGTCTTGATCCGACCTCGGGGTATCCAGACCCACCTCCGGGTTCCACTTTTCGGGACCGGAAGCGTAGCCGTCGGGGCCTGCTGGATCGGGTGTGCTTTCCGCGCAGCCGGTGGACCTCTCCAGCTTTTCTCTGCGCTGTGCAGAGCAGATTTCGCACTCCCGGGTCGTCTGGGCCAGTTTGTCGGTAAGACGATAAACTGCAAGTCGTCTGTGAGGAAGGTGAACCTATAGAGAGAGTAGCCATCATTCAGATAAACAGTCCCAAAGACACTCGTTGGCATGCAAGACGGAGGCGCAAAAAGTTTGCGTGCCAGGAATTGATTCGAGCAGCATCAACGCGTCAATACCCCCAGGCTCCGCCGCCACGGCAAAGAACTCACTCCAGTCTCCAGGTCAAAAAATTTCCAGCCGAGCTCCCCCTAGCTCCCCTGGCTCCGTCCCTGGCCGGTGACACGTCCACTAGCGCCACGTCCATTACCTGCAATGGCCGGGCGATCCCGTTGCTTCAAGCGCGCCTCCAGCCTGTGGCTGCCATTCATTCGTCACGTGCGCCGGCGTCCCCACCGAAGAGCCCACTGAGAATCTCTGGTGGTGGAGCTCCTACACCTCGGAATAACCGATGCCGGGGTCCCGAGCCTGGCGGGATTCGGTCGGCTTCTATGACCGGGGGCGCGCATCATTTTTCGGGTCAAAAAATTTCGAACTCTCCTTGCCATCATCATTTCCTCGCATCCTCATCCACCTCCTCCCTCCCCCCAATTCACCCACAGTGTACTCTATAATAACCGCTTTTCCATTCCTTTCCGCGCGCCATCTTCTTTTCCCTCCATCCCCTTTTGTTATACCCACACACAATCAGGCAAGATGATGTCTGCACGCTTCTCAAGAGCTGTACGTTTCCCACCCCTAGCTCGTGACACCTGTCGCGAACCCATAAGTTTTTTAGTTTTTTTTTTTTTTCCCGCATGTTAACGCGCAATAGCTTCCCAGAGCTACCAGCTCCGTCCGCTCAGCCGGCTTCGCTCGCCAGCCCTTCGCCTCAAAGTTCGCTCGCTATGAGTCAACAGCATCCGAGGGCAAGGTCACGGGCTCCGTGATCGGTATCGATCTCGGTACCACTAACTCTGCCGTCGCCATCATGGAGGGCAAGGTTCCCAAGATTATCGAGAACGCTGAGGGTGAGCATACTCCACTGAACCATCAAATGCGCGCAGCAGCAAGCTAACAATCATCAATAGGTGCTCGCACAACGCCGTCCGTGGTCGCCTTTGCTCAGGATGGCGAGCGTCTCGTCGGTGTCGCCGCCAAGCGTCAGGCCGTCGTCAACCCCGAGAACACCCTCTTCGCCACCAAGCGTCTCATCGGTCGCAAGTTCACCGACGCTGAGGTCCAGCGCGACATCAAGGAGGTTCCCTACAAGATTGTCCAGCACACCAACGGCGACGCCTGGGTTTCTGCTCGCGACCAGAAGTACTCTCCCTCGCAGATTGGTGGATTCGTCCTCAACAAGATGAAGGAGACGGCCGAGGCCTACCTCTCCAAGCCCGTCAAGAACGCCGTCGTCACCGTCCCTGCCTACTTCAACGACTCCCAGCGTCAGGCCACCAAGGACGCCGGTCAGATTGCCGGCCTCAACGTCCTCCGTGTCGTCAACGAGCCCACTGCCGCCGCCCTTGCCTACGGTCTTGAGAAGGAGGAGGACCGCGTTGTCGCCGTCTACGATCTTGGCGGTGGTACTTTCGATATCTCCGTCCTCGAGATCCAGAACGGCGTCTTCGAGGTCAAGTCTACCAACGGTGACACCCACTTGGGTGGTGAGGACTTTGACATCCACCTCGTCCGCCACCTCGTCCAGCAGTTCAAGAAGGACTCCAACATTGACCTGTCCAACGACCGCATGGCCATCCAGCGTATCCGTGAGGCCGCCGAGAAGGCCAAGATTGAGCTTTCCTCCTCCCTCCAGACCGACATCAACCTGCCCTTCATCACTGCCGACGCTTCCGGCCCCAAGCACATCAACCAGAAGATGACCCGCGCTCAGCTCGAGAAGATGATGGACCCCCTCATCACCCGCACCATCGACCCCGTCCGCAAGGCCCTCAAGGATGCCAACCTCCAGGCCAAGGACATCCAGGAGGTAATCCTCGTCGGTGGTATGACTCGCATGCCCAAGGTTGCCGAGTCCGTCAAGAGCATCTTCGGCCGTGACCCCGCCAAGTCCGTCAACCCCGACGAGGCTGTCGCCATTGGTGCCGCCATCCAGGGTGCCGTTCTCTCCGGTGAGGTCAAGGACCTTCTCCTCCTCGACGTGACTCCCCTCTCCCTCGGTATCGAGACCCTCGGCGGTGTCTTCACCCGTCTCATCAACCGCAACACCACAATCCCCACCAAGAAGTCCCAGACCTTCTCCACCGCTGCCGACTTCCAGACCGCTGTCGAGATCAAGGTCTATCAGGGTGAGCGTGAGCTCGTCCGTGACAACAAGCTCCTCGGCAACTTCCAGCTGGTCGGCATCCCCCCTGCCCACCGTGGTGTCCCCCAGATCGAGGTCACCTTTGACATTGACGCCGACTCCATCGTCCACGTCGGTGCCAAGGACAAGTCCACCAACAAGGACCAGTCCATCACCATTGCCTCCGGCTCCGGTCTGTCCGACTCTGAGATTGAGCAGATGGTCAACGACTCTGAGAAGTACGCCGAGGCTGACAAGGAGCGCAAGGGCGCCATCGAGGCCGCCAACCGCGCCGACTCTGTCCTGAATGACACTGAGCGCGCGCTCAACGAGTACGCCGAGAAGCTCGACAAGACCGAGGCCGACGGCATCCGTGAGAAGATTGCCTCCCTCCGCGAGTTCGTCTCCAAGAGCTTGGCCGGCGAGGGCAACGCCACCGCCGCCGAGATCAAGGAGAAGACCGACGAGCTCCAGGTCGCCTCCCTCAACCTCTTTGACAAGATGCACAAGGCCCGCGCCGAGTCTGGCGAGCAGCCCGCTCAGGACGCCAACGCCGAGAACAAGGACGAGAAGAAGCCTTAAATGGTTTTGAGTCCTGGTTCTTTGCATCTTTCCCACCTCCCGCGAGTCAATAAAGGACTCGCGTCAGCATGTTTGATTATTACCTTTTGGGCGGGGCATAGACTTGCTTTGCTCAATGTTTGTATTCCACCTTGTACTCATATTCCGGTCTCGATCCGACTGAATCGGGAATCGAACCGGCTCTCTCTTCCTTGTTACCCCTTTTTACAACATGTTTGTTAATACCTTGCCTGCGGTCGGCGGAACCGGCGTTGGAGCATCAAAAACATTCACACACGAGATACCTATTCGGTATTCATGATATGATCAATGGTATGGATCAAAGGGGATTAAGACGGGGTTGCATATGTACAAAACCAAACCGAATCCGGAGTAGCTAGACGTGATAATTCTACATCCCCTCTCAAAACAATTGTGGACCAAGAGACCCAGTGGTATTTAACAATGCAAGAGACATACGTGCATATGTAGCCGACAAGGGCCATTGACATTAAGTGACTACTTTTATCTACCAAAACCAAACCATCCTTTCTTTTGTGCCTGCGGCTTCTCGCCGCTCTGCGCCGCGGGCTCGTCCTGACTGGATGGCGCCTTGGCAACCGGCTCCTTGCCCGGGTAATCAATGTAGTTCCACGCCACGTCGAGGAAGATGGGCTTGACGGGGATGGCAGACAGCTTGGGCGGGACGCTGACAATGTTGTGGAGGTCGATCCCGTTGGACGGGTACTCGCGCAGCCGTTCAATCAGAGGCAGCTTCTGGGCGTCGTCTTCGTTGGAGGCGGCCGACTCCTTGAGCAGGTTCGAGAGGTGGACGAGGGCGCGGTGGCGCTGGAGCTCGCCTTGGAGATAGGTTGCCAGGGCCTTTGCGTCCGTGGCGGACACCTCGATGCTGCGCGGGGTGTTGGGTTGCGGTTGGGAGCCCTTGGCGAGGGTCGAGGTGGCTTCCTGGGCTTCGCTCGTGGCGTGCTTGATGAGGGCTAGGGCGTTGACTGTGTTGCCGATGATGGCGTGGGAGCGGGCGATGGAGAGAGACCTGTGTTGTCAGTATAAGAGAATCAAGTCAATGGCGTCAAACTCACTTGAGAGCTTGAAAGTACTCGGCAAAAGCTTCCAGCTGGTCGGCGAGCTCCTCGTCGTTGGCCACGCCGGGCAACTCCCTCGCAGCCTCGAGACTCTGCAGGGTACCTTCGTACAAAGCGACGAGTTCCTTGAGCTTTGCAGCCTTGCGTCCGGGAGTCTGTTCCTTGGCGATCTTGTCTGCCTTCTTGGACTTGCGAGTCGAGTGGTATCTCTCAACCAGGCCGTCGTCGTTGCCTGTCAAGACGCGGTTGCGACCGATTCGCCAGCTAATCATCTCGTAGTTGACGGCGGTTCTGGTGATCTGCAGGCTCTGCATGCGGGAGTCGCTCTGGGAGACGCCCTCGCCTCGCAGCTCGTCAATCGCTTCCTTTGTGGCATCGGCGGCATCCTGCGTCGCCTCGAGGATGTCGTCGTACGCGGCGGCCACGTCCCTGGGGTCGGCATCAACAAGAGACGGCCACGTCTCGGAGAGCTTCGCCTTGGCCTCCTCTGCTCTGCCCCATGCCAAAGAGATTGCAGCGTCTTCAATCTTGACGTCGCGAGAGCGCCAGGTGAGTGACCTGGGTGCGTTCTCGGCACCCTCGCCGCCCTTGCTAGTCTCGGCGTCCACCTGCTTCAACACGTTGGGGTCGAGCTCGTTAATCTGCTGAACGAGAGCGGTATCGGACTGGGGGAATGCTCGTCTGGCGATGGCGGGAACGGGTATCGTGCGTGGCGTCTTGAGCTGGTAGGCGGCGTAGCGGATCGAGGGATCGATGGTGTCGGAGAGGAGGTCCTTGAAGATGTCGCCCTTGGTGGTCGTTGCCATGGCGCTGTAAATGATGCGCGACACGGCGTAGCTTCGCAGGGAGGGCTCCCAATGCTGGTTCTCGAACTGGGCGGCACCGCGGATGTGGGCGGCGTAGGCCCGGGATTCGAGCTTGTCGTTCTGTGTGGCGGCGGCTTCGGGCTGGGAGAGCAGCTCGGCGAGGTGTTCGGCCGCCTTTGTTGCTTTTTGGAGTCGTGAGACGATGTGGGATCTCGTCTTGCCGGTCATGCCTTTGGCATCCGAGGCGTGTGACGCCTTGATGGCCATGGCGTTGGCCCAGGCACGCTCGCTCGTGAGAAGAAGGAGGTGGACATATCTAGGCAGTGTCAGTCAACGGCCCCTCGCCCTTGCACGTGTCGACATACTCATGGTTCTCGGCAATTTGCGAGACGCCGACCTCACCCTTCTTGCTAAACTTTCCACGGTTCTTCGTGGCAATATTGAGCTTCTTGCGACTGTTGAGTAGCTTCTTGGACAGCTGGGTCTGGTAGGTTGCGTAGTCTCCGTAAAGGAGAGCCGCGTCACGGCCAGAGACGACAAACTTTGTGATATCCATGGCTGTGGTGGTGGCGATCGGTTCGTCCGTTCGACGCTGGGAGGCAGGATCGCGACAGGCCACACCAAAGGGGACGGGATGATGTCGAATCGACCTCTGCGCTGCGCGGGGGATTGGTGGGGCTCACCAGTGTGTCCTCTGCTTCAATGTGGGATTGTCAAAATTTAGGGCGTGTTCTCAAGGCCGCTAACTGCACACCCACCTCGGGCATTATGTAAGCTGGGGTCGGACGCCGGGTTGAAGATGTTCCCATCGACGCCTTGCCATTGGTTGAAGCTCCCCGAAAAAGTCCATGATGGTGGATTATGGACTGATACTACGGTCTTTGAAGGCATCGTGCATACTTACCGGCCGGCCCTTTGATCGCGTTTCGCAGAATAGGTCACTTGACTTGTTGTATCAAAGCCGTCACTGGGACTCTTCCAATTGCCACCTGTATCATCCTGTGTGCCCTGTCAACCTAGCCTAGCTCAGCTTGGACAACACCTCGATCGTCGACGTCTTCGATTCCGCGACTCCACTCAAAACTTTTTCGGCTTTGCGCGACAACACCAACGATACCCACGACCAGCATGTGCCCGAGTGCTTTTGATGTCCGCCATACATGATCGATACGTACCGTGTTGGTGACAGCCTCAATCCCAATGCTGGAGAGAACGGCGGCGACCCTGGAATCATGTACCAGTCTTCATGCTCTTCCATCCGCCACGCGACAACTTAGAAGCCAGCGCAGGTTGCACACCGGATTCTGGCAGCATGGCGCCGCAGCCCTAGATATCTCCAGCTACTTGCTGGCTGCGCGTTGCAATGCCACCGACCAACCCATCTCCGACTCGCCGCCAACACCCCCCGAAACCCTCGCCGCCTCGACCTTTCTTCTCGACTTTCTCTACCCTAGCGGAACCGCCTCCTTCTTACGCAGAGCCTCTCCAGGCCTTCCTCACGACCACCTGGCATCCATCCGACGGCTTCCACGCCGATCTAGGCCATTCACCTCTTCCACGGTTGCGACTTCGACGAAAGACTCCGACTCGCCCGAGGCTTTGTCTGATGGTGGCTTGTCAATGAACCGGGGAGATGAATCTGCGGTGCGAGACCTGCGGTACGAATACCGACAAGATGTAGATCCCGCCGAAGAAGACGTAGATCCCGCCGAAGAAGACGAGTTTGAAGAGGGAGAGGAAGAGGATGACTACGACATCACCAGCTCGCACGACACGCACAGCGGTCCATCGTACGCCGGCGCCGGGTCACGGCCCGAACTGATGAGGGAGTTGATGGCCGACAAAGACACGGAGTATTTTGGGTCCATATGGCAGCTCTATGCGCAGCTGGAGCCTGATTTGCAACCAGAGTTTCGACCCGAGATCATTGAATACCTGTATCGGTCCGCAAACGTCATTGATGCGCGAAGAGTCGTCCTCTTGTTCCCCCAAATCGACAACAGCCAGTGGACCACATTGGCTCTGACGTCGGTGGTAACGGCATATCTACGCTTGGGACGAGAGAGCGAAGCGTTGCGGCTATACCACACGGCGCTGGACGAGAAGGCCTTTGTGTGCGGGCTGGACGAGCTGCTGGGTCATTTCTTTGCCCAGGGCGATTGGGAAAACGTCAGCCGAGTGTGGGCATCGTATCATACGGTTTACCTCGCCGAAGGCATCAATTGCGGAAAGTTGAAACAGCTTGGTGCAACTCCCAACCTCGGAGCCCTTACCATGAGCTTCGCCGAGGAGGTCGAGGCGCAGGAACCAGAAGTAGCGCGGAAACTCCGAATCTTGCTCAACAAGGCGGTCAGGCGCGCGATCCAGCAGCCATGTAAGCCAGACGAAGCCTTGCCTCTGCTCAAACTCATCGACAAGGACCAGAAGAAGTGGTTCACCATCTACCTCGAGGAAGCTCTGGCACGAGGACAGCAGGAGGGTTTGGCCGAGGTGTACCGTGTCTACCGGTCGTTTCCCAACACGCGGCCGTACTGGAGAGTTCTTCATGGCATGTTTGATATATTCTACCCAGAGGATGTCGTGGGCCTCGAGCAGGTCTACGAAGACTACCATACCAGCTACGGAGGACTGGATAGGTGGGGGTACAGGAAGTTCCTAAAGTACTACGCATCACGGGGCGACATCAAGTCTCTGGAGCGTTTGTGGGACAACTACGTCTACGCCTACCAGCACCGCCATGTCCTTCGGGAACCAGAAACCTTCAACTACATCATCAACGCCTATGCGAACCTCAAAGACTACAAGAGCGCACGACGATTTTTTGACGAGATGAGAGACAAGCACGGCGTGACCCCGGGCACCGACAGCTGGAATCAACTTCTCAAGAGCACCACCGCCGACTACGATCTCGCCAAGTCGGTGTTTGAAGAGCTCTGCGCGAGCGTGTCACCCGATAAGTATTCTTTTGCCACCATCATGTCCGTCAGTGCGGGAGAAGGAGACAACGTAAAGACGTTGCAACTTCTCGAGCAAGCGAGATTGCTAGGCATCGAGCCGGACGTCATTATGCTTGAAAAGGTCATCCGAGCCCACTCCTGGTATAACCGAACGAGAGCCATGTTACAAGTTTGTACCGATGCCCACGCCAACAACGTTCCGGGCGACCATGACATACTCTGGAATGCTCTTTTACGGTCTCAGGCGCATCGCCGCAATCTGCCCGCTGTCGCTCGTGAATTGGAGTCCATGGCGAAGCATGGTGTCAAGTGGACGTCCGAAACCCATACACAGCTACTCCGCGCCTTGGTCCGTTGCGGGCAAACCCAAATGGCGTACAAGTTACTACGCTCGGCTGCTCGCGAAAAGTCGTTCAAGGTGGTCCCAGCCCACATAGAGACCATCGTACAGGGCGCCCTGGACGGCCGCCATCTGGCCTTGGCCGGCAAGCTAACGAAGCAATTGCGACAGTACAAGACTATGTCAGTCAAGAGTCGCATTGACCAAGCTCGCATAATGATCAAGCAGCAGTTGTTTGCCTACAGTCAAAATTCGAAAAACGTTGACGGCGTGGAGGAGTTGATGACATACATTCGGGATCTGGCCAACCAAATCTTCACCAGCGCCGAGTCGGAACGGACAGTTTCCTCAATACGCCGCGCCGATTCCCTGCACCGCCTGCGGGTCTTGCTCAATATGGCTATCCAGCTCTTCGGTGCGCATCGCGATTACGACTCGGTCAGAGAGCTCCAGCAGCTGCATAGGAGCGTCACCGCAGCCACGACCAACTCTACCGACAATGAAACTCCCGTCCAATGGCTATACTACATGATGAAGGAGGACGTATTCAACAAGAGGTACGAAGAGGCCATGGCAAAGTGGGATCAACTGCAGGAAAAGGTCGTGGCCATTGCTCGTCCAAGATCGAGGGCAGTTATGCCGCGGCACCGCTACCGTCTTTCCAAGCCGTTTGAGACGTTCATACAGATATGTGTAGAGCTACAGAGCTGGACGCGACTGAAGAGGGGCTTTGACAAGTTATTTGACTCGGGCTTCCTGTTGGAGCGCCGGGCCATGAACCTTGTAGTTCAGGGTCTCGCCCGCACGGGGGCTTGGCTAGAAGCCTGCAAGATGTGCGAAGGGTACCTCATGCCGAGGTGGACGGGCTGGCAGCAGAGTCGCGTCCGCGCGCAAGTCACAAATAATCTACCGCTGGAGACGCGTCGAGTCCACCGCTCGGCGCAAATGTTACGTCCGACATCGTACACCGTCATCCTCCTGTCCAAGGAATACCACGAACTTCGACGCACAGCGATGTGGTCGGGTGGCGCGGCGCGCAAACTCAGTGTCTTTCACGAGCTGTGCCCGCGCCTGGTGGATGCATTAAACAGAATGGTGTACACGGGCGTAGGTATTGAAAAGGAGCTCTTCGGGACCCAGAAGAGCAGCATGGCGCTCTCGGAAATGGGTAAAACCCCTCCACGCGGCGGCATCCTCGGCTCGCAGACGGAGGGCTCGTCGCAACTGCCTGAGCCTTTGTCGTTTACCACGGGCGATGTTACGATTGACGGTCTGTGGACACAGGCTTCATCGGTGCCAACCCCTCCACCTCGCGAGGAAGGTGTTGGCTCGCAACCCGAGAACATATCGTCGGCGGAGCAGTCTGAGCCTTTATCAATTACCACGGGCGGAGTCACAATCGACGGCCTACGGACTCGACTTTCGCCATCGTCGAGGCAAATCATTCCTCGCCGAGAGGAAGACATTGTTGACTCGCAACCCGAGACCTCGTCTTGGGCGCAACAGCCTGAACACTCATCATCAATGACCACGGGCGGAGTTACTATTGACGGCCTGCGTGTTCCGCTGTAGTTGGTGGATGGGACGTCTGACTACCAGTGGAGACGCGTGTATGAACAGAGATATCTTGTACAAGACTTATTAGACCAGACATGGGTGTGTTATAGAAGGGCACGGCATTTAATTGCAGCGATGATTTCTTGGAGAGAATCGACACTCTCCTCAATGGGGATGGACGATAGATGTGACAATACAACTTTTGTTTATTAGCTTTCCCTTCCGAGTCTAACATGTATAAAACGACACATCAATCACTCGCTATCCCGTCCTTTGGAGAATGCATGATCCCCTGGACAGTGCCCACCATGGTCTCCCCCATACCCTCATTCAGCGCATCGCGACTCGCAAGCCCAAGCTTACTCCTCTGCATCACAAACAGCGCCGCCGTCGGCGCGTCAAGGCTATAATCGAGATGCGTATTAAAGATGAAATCGCCCCCCTGGCAGATATTATCCCCCGTGTGACACACAACAAGCAACTTTGTCGCATCGACCCCGTCAATCGCTTTCCCGCCCAGGGGGTCGCCAAACAGCACCACGCTCGAGAGCCGCGCGCGCTGGTCGGCCGGCAGCTGGGCCACGGCGAGGCGGGCGACCTGCGAGCCCTGGGAGTAGCCCGATACTGTGAGCCGGGTGTCCGGGCAGGTGGAGAGTGTGCGGGAGGCGACTTGGGCGGCGAAGGCGGCGCCCGTGGCGGAGCCGCCTGCGAAGAAGCCGGGCGGGTCGGCGGGGTAGGAGTTTACGCCTTGGATTGCGATGGAGCCTGTTCCGTTCATGTAGGTGCGGAGGGCGTCGAAGAAGGGGGGGCCGGTGAGGAAGCCCACGTTGCCTGGGGGTGTTAGTCTCTCCAAGTGCTTCATATTCAAAGGGGGGTGAACACACCTGGCTCATTGGTCCCCCTGGCGAACAGGACAGCCACGTCCGGACACGTCACGGCGCGGGTGGTGTTCCCGGCAAGAGGCAGCTGCATGCCCGTGGTGCCGTTGATGCCGAGGGCCGTGTCGAGGTCATTCTGCGTGATGCCGCTCTCGGCCACCGTCTCCCTGAGGGCGCGGACGACGAGCAGCGTCGTGTTGACGACTTTATCCACCAGGCCCGGCACGCGGTCGAGGACCTCGAAGGAGCCCGAGAGGAGGCTTGAGAGGTCCCTGTCGCGGTTGGGGTTTCCCTTGAGCTTTTGCGGTGTTGTTGGTGTGATTGGTATCAAGGGGATCGGTATCGTCAGCGCCGTGGTCTGCTGGTAGAGCAGGGCTGCTGAGAGGAGGGCGGATGACGGCCTCATCGCGCCCCTTTTTATTTGCTAAGTCGTGCCAAGGAAGATGAGTTTGTTTTCGTTTTGGTGTTTACCCAGGTGGTGATCGTTTGGGTGATCGTCAACCGCAGAGCCGCAAAAGGTAACCTTGGATTCGAATCAGGGACCTTTAGGTTGCCATAAAACCCAAAGGGTTGTTAAAGGGGGGTTGTTCAGGGTATTTCAAAGCTTTGACATGTGCGTGGATAATGTCCAAATGTCCTTGGTGGTTGATGAGAGGTTGCGTCACACACATGGGATCATGTAAGTGAGCTCCTCGACGACGGCGACGGGGGGCCGACCCATTGCGTACTTGCGTACTCACAACCACACTCGCTTCAGATGACGCCGCCTCACCCTGGGAGGGGAGGGGGGGGGGGGGGGGGCATTGTGAGAGAAAGTCGCAGACCACGACGGAATCTCCCTCACCACCAAGAAGAAAAATACAATTGGCACACAGCCCCCCCCGCCGTACAAAACGCAAAGGCGAAGGCGTTTCACACACCATCCCCCGGCCGCCGCTGCAGGCGACCGGGGCTCACGGCGAGAAATGTGCCGCGGTGAAACCGTCTGATGTCGAAGATGTGAGATTCGATCTCCAATGACAGGGCAAAATGGATGCTTTTGCTCGGATTTTGTTTCCGTCATTTGAAGTATTTGAAAATCCCTCGCTCGGATGTAAGAGGGAATGGGTGATTGTCGTGGGCACGCATAATTCCCAAGAATCCCCTCGTTCCTCTCCTCATTGACCCGATGTCTGGCATCATGAAAGTAAGCACATCCATCATAGTGGTTTGACATCCTCGGTCTGGACTCGCTCTGCCACTCTCACCTATATCGTCTACCTTCCATTTAGTCTGATGTCTTCCCATCATCCGTGCCTCCCAACCTCATTAAGTCCGTGTCCTCAACCGTGTGGTCTTGGTCTACACCTTAATAAACACAGCCAAAACCGCAAAAACCGCCTTGCGCTTTCGCACTCGGGAAAGATAGACGGGCGGGAGGACGGGAGGGCGGAGCGCTGCGAGACCCCGTCGGGGAGAGGAGATCTCGAAGAAGGCGCGGAGAAGCTGTGATCGATGGGTGACTGCATGTAGGACACGGTGATGGCTTCCGTGAGCTGCTCCAGCCTCTCGGGGACGTCGCTGACCTCATGTAGTCGAATTTTCCAAGATGCCGTCGGGAGGATGTCGAATCTTCAAAATGAGCCGCATGATTGATGAGTACCTGGCGATCAGGCTGTGAGTGAGACAGGAAGCTTCCACATCGGACTGACCTCGTCTCTCGGGGACTCTTCTGCGACTCGGTCCTCAACACCATACATTCCCAGCGAGATAACCCGGCACACACCAAGATGAGCAAGTACTATGTATTTCTGAAATATCGCCTTCCTAGGCATCACCCAGAAGCCAAAACTCCATCCGTCTATAACGAATCCCATTTCCCATACCATAAACAAACTCCCTCAGTGACCCCCAAACCCATATAACTCGGGGCTAAATACGTAAGCACACCAAAATCGGTGTCATGAATATGTACAAAAGATGCCTCATACATGAAAAAGAAGTGGAATCTTGACGTGAACCACCTTCACTCCGGCCGACCACCAAAAGGCATCTCGCCCTGATTCTGATCCTGGCCCTGTCCCTGACCCCGTCCCTGGTTCTGTACACCCAAAGACCGCAACCGCTGCGAAAGCAACCCCTCCGCAGCACCACCAGGACTCCCACCACGCCCAGACGACGGCGCAAACGCGTTGCCGCCGTACCCTACATCCCCCTTACTCAGCTTCTCATACCTCGCAACCTGCGCGTCCCCCCACCCGTCCTTGGTCGTCGGCCTACTCGCCTGCTCCGACTGCGGCGAGAGGATGCCGGGCGTGGTAGTGCTCGTCGTGTTCGTGGTATCGCTCACGTCGCTCCCCAGACGAGCACGCCCCCGCCCCGAGACGGAAAGCGCAAACGGCACCGCTTCCACGGGCTGCGTATTCCCGCCAAAGCTAAAGGGTGACGGCGACGACTGCTGCTGCTGCTGCTGCTGCCGCCGCTGACCGTACCCATACCCCGCGGCCTGCGGCGACTGCGAGAACCCGTCTGATGTACACCCACCATCCACGGCGTAGGGATACGCAGACGGAACCAAGGGGAACCCGGCACTCCGCCTCCGAAACGCCTTTTCCGCCGCAAGCGTCGCCGCGGGTCCGCTGTGGCTGCTCGACATGGGCGGGTGCATCACGCGGATGGGCTTGTACGGCGTGAACCGCGGTTCCGGGTTCGTCGTCTCGTTGCGGAGCTTCTCTTTGCCGTCGGGGACGCGGTTGGCGAAGACGATCCGGACGCTCTTGTAGAGGTAGAAGCGTCCCTTGGACGGGCAGCAGATGTGGAGGTGCACGAGGTACCGCAGGATAGGGCGGTCGGCGGCGGCGGTGGCGGCTGCTTCCTCCAACCCGGGCGTGTTCGTCTCCATGATGGGACCCGCCGAGTAGCTGCGCTGCCGGATAAACGTCTTTGTCCCGGGTTCCATGCCGGCGAGGTCGTAGGGCACCAGGAACAGCTTCACCGCCGTCTTGTTGGGGTTCTTGATGACGATTTGGACCTGGCCCTTTTCGGGGATGCGATAACTCCCGCCCGGCGGCGCTCTCGGGGATGCCGATCTCCGTCTGGCCCGCTGCGCGGCTCGGCGCGCCTCACGATCCGAGGACCCGTCCGCCATGAGGACGTCGTCTTCGGCGATCCGTTTCTCGACGTATCTGCTCTGCATCTTCCTCTTGGACCGCTGTCCCTCTTCGGGGTTGGGTAGACCGTTTTCCAGGTCAATCTGGCCGACGTACGGGCTAGGGCCATCCTCTGACCGCACACGCCCTTGTGAAGCTCCTCCATAGCTGTAGAACACGGCGGGGAACGGCAAAGTCACATGGGCGGGGCACCTCAGGCTGGACTTACACTTGCCCAGCCCCAGCACGCCAATCTGCGCGAGAAAGTCGAGCGGCTTCGACGGCGTCGTGGACATGCGGCCGCGGAGGATGCTCTCCTCGTACGACCCAACCATGGAAGCGTGCTGCAAGGGGGAGGTGTCCGAGTTGAACGACGGCCGCCTGGGTCTCAGAAACGCCGCGGGCGTCTGCGGCGAGGAGGCCCCAGGGAGCGGCACCTGCGGGATCGACGTGAGGGAGCGCCGCGGCTGGTGTGCCTGGTACGGTAATGCCGCTGGGCCCCGGTGCGAGGACCGCCTGTGAATCGCAGCATGGCTGGGCGAGGGGAACGCAAAGGGGGACGACGTGACCGAGTTCAGGGTGTGTCGACGCGAGGGGCCTACGAAGCTTGGGGATCCCGCGGTAATGGCGATGCTGTTTAGCGGCGCAGACAGGTCGATTTGGTCGTTGCTCTCGGACTGGACCAGCGGGCTCGTCGGCGGCTTGTACACGAAGCTGGACGAGAAGGAGGAGGACAAGGAGGACGGGACGGATCGGTAGTCGTCACTCGTCGCCGGAAACGGTACCCTCGCCTCGAACTGAAACGGGGAAAAGTCCCGCGGTGGTGACGTTGCGAGCCATGAATTGCGCGAAGCCAAGAACTTGTTGGTTGCGCCGTGCGTCTCCTCCTCTTGCGCCGTCTGTTGCTTTTCGTGCTGCGACCGCGGCCTCGGCTGATGATCCTCTGTGAAGTCGCCGCTGTGCAGAGCAGACCGCGGCCTCTGTATGCTCAACCCCTCGCGCAGCCGCTCATCCTCCTCTCGTGAGCCGTCGGCGGCTGCTCTATCCGGGGTGATGCTCGCGGGCGGTAGGAGACTAGACGAGCTCGAGGGCGGCCGGGGGCTTTGCGGCGTGCTCGGGCGGGGCAGGTTGTTGAAGAGCGACTCGAGCTTGGTGATGTTGTGAGCTACAAGATCGTTCCTGGGGGATGCCACGCGGCGGTTCGGGATCCACGTCGGGCTCTCCCCGCGCTTCAGCCGCTCAATCAGCTCGGCCCTGTCAGAGATGACGGCGGCGGCGGCATCGGTGTCGGTCTCGGGGGTTGACGGCCTCGTCGGGCTTTCCACAATGGGGCCTTCGCATAGCTCGGTTCGTATGCTCTCTTCGGAGAGTCTTCTCATCGGCGACGGTCGGTGTTGTGGTATGGGTGGATGTGGTGTTTCTGGCGCCGCGGCCGTGGTAGTCTCGGCTACGGACGGACGGCGATGGTGGTGATGTTCGAGATCGTCTTGGAAGATGGGCATAGTTTAATCAAGGTCTGAACCACAGCACGGCTGTGGCCCAGATCTGGAGTCGGGTTCGCAATGTTGGCGGCGGTCGAGAGGAAGCCGATCATGCCTCCCGTGTTGTCTGCTCTGCTTGTTGGTTTGTAGTTTGTATGGAGCAAAAGGTGGTGCGTCTTTGTCGGGTGATTTTGGATTCGCGGTGTTAGTCACCGGGTTAATTATTCTTTAACAAACGGGCCCCCGGTAGGACGTCATAAGCAGCACCGCTTCGGCCCCAGTGACACTTCCGATTTCGCTCCCTGTCCCTGGCCTTTACACGACGGTAACGTAGGTTTCTGAGTCAAGCAAGGGCACCGGCGCTTCTGGCGTGCTTCACTGGCGTCGTACGAGAAATGAGGCTGTCTAGGAAGAGAGACAAAACTACCACTAATCAAGGTAGGACAAGAAGGTAAAAGTATCCCGTTCAGACACAGAGAATGAAGAGGTTGGAGTTGCGGTCAGTGACATGCAATGCAATCCGTCCAAGTGCAGCTACACCACCTGAATACTAAGTACAGGACCACAGGGGACCTAAGCACCTAAGGTACCTAGTTTGGAGGGAACATGCAGCTGTCGTTCGTCGGGGCTGGCAGTGGCGGGCCCCAGCACACCAGTGCAGTGCAGGGCCGCTGGCGTGCTAAGGCAGGTCAGGTTAGGGCCCGGGGGGTTTCCCTCTGGGCACTCTGGTCAGCTGCCCCGAGTCCCCAACTTTAGCGAGCAACGGCCATCCTCGTTCTGCCACTCTGGTGAGAGATTCACTCCATCTTTGAGCCATGGCTTGAGTTTCTTAGACCGATATGCCGACCCTTGCTTCATGCATCCCGCCAGAGGAAACCCACCCACCTAGGACCAACATCTTCCCTTATTGACCCCTTATCCGTCGTCAGATCCACCCTTGTCTGCGCTGGCACTTGCCCCGGCGTCGTCCCACTCGCGCGATGCGGTTCGTGTTTGTGTTGGTGTCCTGCCATGTTTTGTTGTTCATGCCCGACATCCGCCGTAGCCATGGAAAAAGATAATGAAAAAAAACCTTTACAATTAATCTTGACTATGGTATGAGGCACAGACGATGGAAAGACAGTTTCCAGTAAACGCAGAGCAAAAAGAGGAGTAATAGAGAGGGGAAACCTCGTTCTCGTTCTCGTTACAACGCCGGCCAACGATGTTCCTCATTCCAAGAGCTGAAACATTAGGCAAAGTCTTGATTCTTGTAATCGGCGCCCTGACTATATGCATCTACATACATGAATCCTGCTCGTGGGTTTCCTTTGCGCTCCCGCTTTCGCATCCTAGTAAGGTAGGTAAACATACATCCCAGGCTGAGCCCAAAGCCCCGACACCCTGGAGTTCGTCACCTCTCACATCAGAGTCGATGGACCTCATTAAGTCTGAGATGGAGCGGAGATTCTGAGCGGACCATCAATGCCTGGTGATCAAATAAACCTCGGTGAACGGCACACTATCTAGTGAATCATAATAACTCAACAGGATATCACGTAGGCCCACGACCGCAACATCACTCACGCGTACTCACCATGAACACATCACGTATACCGACACAAAACTCATTGGGGGTATCAAATTTTGGTAAAATTCTAGCGGTGATGTGCCGCTTCGGCTTCCATCGCAATCACTGCGACAATGTCATGGGACGAGCCCTCGTCATCCCATTATTCGGGACATCACCATGGTATCATGGCATACAGGTAACTCTGTAGACTGCTTCGAGCCCCTGCTGTCCCTCACACAAAGGAGACACACTCCACGTGCATCTTCTCGTCAGCCCCTCTACTCAACACCCCAGCCATCATCGTCCGCCACATCATAGTCCATCTCCCGCTGCTGTTCAGGCTGCTGCTCCACCAGGTCACGTGCCGCCGACGACCCGTTAGGTGCGGCGTTGCCCATGGTCATATCATGGTCGGACGCGCCCTGGGCCTTTGACGACGCACCATTCTCGACAGCCTTGATGGGCGCCAGGGGTGTGGCGACCCACGACAGTTCGAGTTGGCCATCAATGCCCGGGATCTCCTGCTTGGGGAGACCGTAAAAGAACTTCTCGGCCGTCTTGCGGTCCTTGAAGGTGACTTCGGTCTTGGACGGGGTGGTGTTGATCTCTGTGAATTCACCGACGGCGAGGAGGTACTGCCGAAGCACCTCGTCCTTCTCAGACGAAGTAAAGTCCACGCCCGTAACGGAGACAGTCCGGGGACGGTTGTCGAGCGAGTACGCGGCGTAGGCAGCGTGGACGTCGCCTCTGTATCCACCGCCGCGGTATGGTCCCCTTCCTCGAGGGGCGAAGCCACGGCCACGCGGGACAAAGCCGCCTCTGCCACGACCACGGCCCCGGGAGCTCGCATGCCACGCCGGTTCATCCGTCGCGCTAGGATCGAGGCCGAGGAGCTTAGCCTCGTCCTCGAGAGCCGCGAGCTGCGCGCGAAGGGCCGAGTTCAACGAGCCCTCTTCCCCATTCTCTCCGCCATCGCCATTCTTCGAGGCCAGCTTAGCTTGAAGCTTCTGCTGTACCTCGCGGTGCCGGGCGAGCAGTTCGCGTTGCCGCTGCTCCAGTTCCTGGCGTTGCTTGTCTAGCTCGGCCTTCTTTTGCATCTTTTCATCGTGCTGCCGCTGGGCTTCTTCTTGCTTCTTCATAAACTCCTCCAGATCAATCTCCGGCTCGGCGTCCTGGTCTTCGCCGTTGGCAGCAGCACGTGCGGCAGCCTGCTCGCTCTCTTCGACGAACCAAAAGACTCGTACGAAGCGGTTGTCAAAGATGACCTTGGGAGACCGATACGCCGCATTGGCAGAATCCCACGTGTCATACGTGACGGTCGCGAGCCGCTTGTGAGGCTGCACTGTGACCTCTTGGATGTTGCCAAACTCGGAGAAGAACTTGCGAACTGCCTCCTCAGACAAGTGCTCCTCGGGGATGTTCTCCACGACAATGGTCGTCTTTGTTGTATCCTCGACGGGGCCCTCAGCGGAGAAGGAGGCTCTGTTCTGACGCCGCTTGCCTCTAGTAGCACGGCGATTCTTACGGCCCTCCCGACTGGATCTCTCAGCGTTGAATGCCTCCATGAGTTGCTGCATTTGTTGAAAGTTTTGCGACATCATCATGGCCGCGTCTCGGGGATCAAAGTCTGTGCCATTGTGTCAGTCTGAGTCTTGAACAACATCTTTAATGACAAAAGTGGCAGAGAATTTTGTAGCTTTCAGTAGTCAACCTTATAATTTTTTGTAAAAGTCATCGCATAAATGCTCGGATGGAATACTCATCATGCTACAGGGGATGTGTGATAGACAAGCGTAAATGAACTCACCCTCGAATTTCGGAGGCCCACTGGGACCGCTGGGCGGCAACCAGATGGGCTCGACGCCGTGGTCATACTGGCACAAGTTTCCGCGAGCACAGTACCCCTTGGTCGCGAAGTCGCGGCATTTCTGCCTGTTTCTTCGTGGGCCTTGAGGAGGGACGCCCTGAGGGTAGGCCGGCGGCATCTGAGGCATACCGCGCCAATTCTGGGGTCCAGTCGGAGCATCCCGTGGGAAGTTTGGGTCGTACGGCGCCGCCGCAGCCGACAGCTGGAACGAGCCATCGACAGAGAACGGCTGCGCAGAGTACCCTCCCGCACCCGAAGCCGTCGAGTCCCATTGACCCCGGCGAGGCTGCTTGTACGCGCGCTCCTCGAAGCCTGTATCCCGATCGCCCGACGCACCGCTCTCATTGAATGAGCGCTTTCGCGAACCACCCTGAGACGGAAAATCCGAGACCGTCGCGCGATCGTCTGCCTCTATTCGTTTCTTGGGCGGGGGAGGCGCGCCTGGGAGAAACGACTTGTACTCTATGACGCGAAACAACTCGTCAACAAATTCCGGCGCGGTGTCTGTGGTGCGATTTGTTAACAAGAGCTGTGGAAGACGCGTTGCTGGTGCGCACTGTGACCGAACTAACCTGTGTTGAGGAACTGCGGCAATTCGCTTTCGCATGCCGCACGAATGTGCGCAGCGTCGCCTTCCTGCGAGGCGAGAAGAGCAAGGACATAGTCGGCCAAGATGTCCGTCTCTGTATCAGATCTGCGGAGAGCAATGGTCAGCAAGAGCAATTGAGAGACGAAAATTTGACGGGAAGACAAACACTTCAGGCAGCTTGCTCAGAAGCCACGTCCTGAGCAAGGGCGCATCCTCCTCTGCTAGAAACATTGTCGTCGCAGTGCGAGTCGCGCCAGACCATGGGGTTGAAGAATGAAAAAAGAAGTTGACGTATCAATAAGTCTGATACTCAAGTAATGTATGGACAGGTTGGAGTCATTGTTGTTGCTCGGCGGAAAGCCACGCGAACAAACAAAAATTTGCCCAGAAATGGGAGAGGTTGTTGAGAGAAAGAGCTTTGTCGGAACGAGGCTGAAAGCTTTTATTTGCAGAGCTCGCTAATCTGACCCACTTTAAACCTAAGTGGAATCCGTGCCCGGGTCGGCGTCGCTGCGGTTGTCCGCTGCCGTTGCCCGCTACAGATTCGGGGCAGTCCTTGCCGTACTTATGACAATAATTGGATAACATCGTATTCGAATTTTTGAAGCTTATGCTCAGGTGTCACATCGTCACCACAATCACGACAGTGTTTACATATTGAACTTTGTCTTCATTCGAGACTACGCGAAAGCTATGGAAAGAACGGGGTCATAATTTTTGATATCATCCACCAAACCCAGTTCGTCATAAATGCCCAAAAAGGCACAACGCCATTTTCTATTAACCCGTGGGAAAGGCGTTTACAACTTGTCGTAGTACTGCAACTGGTTAGCATCATTCAGTCATGGGGGGTTATACGGAAAACTCACGTTCTCAACACCGGGAACCTCAACCTTGAGACCCTTGCGCTTACGCATCTCCTGGACGATCTGGCCGACCTTGGAGGTGCCGTCGAGAGGAGAGCCACCGGGCAGGGGCTGCCAGTGGTCAAAGACGGACTGGGGGAAGGCCTGTCCGGAGGTGGCCTGGCGCAAGTCACTGTTGAAGCCGAAGGACTCCATGACGGGCAGGTAGGCCTTGATGGTGAACAGAGGGGTACCGGGGCGCTGCTCCTCACCGAAGACGTGACCACGTCTGCGGGTAAGGACGCCGTAGACACCACCCATGGCCTGCTCGGGAACCTGGATCTCGACCAAGAAGACGGGCTCGAGAAGAGCGGGCTCGGCGAGAAGGGCGGCGGCGTACAGGACACGGCGGGAGGTAGGGATGATCTGGCCACCACCACGATGAATGGCATCGGCGTGGAGGGTGACATCCATGACGTTCCAGCGGACGGAACGCATGGGCTCCTCGGCAACGGGACCCTCGCGGGTGGCCCACTGGAAACCAGAGACGACGGAGTCCTTGATTTCGTTGAGGTACTGGACGGCCTTGGTCTGGTCGACGAGCAAGTTGGCGCCAGTGGTGTCGGGACCGAAAGTCCAGATCTTACGGGCGTCAGTGACATCCCAGCCGAAGTCGTCGGCGAGGACACGGGCGCGGGCCTTGAAATCGTCACGGGGGCTGATCTTGCCAGCCTCGATCTCCTTGGAGAGCTCCTCGTCAATGGGCTCAGCAATCATGTAGATACGGTTGTGCTTGTTGGGAGACTTGGAGAGAGCGGTGATGCTGGACTTGCCAACAACGGTCTCACGGTACTGGACGACGGGGTCGGAGATGATGAGGGGAACACCGGCGTGGTCGTTCATGAGATCGTTCAGGCAAATCTCCAAGTGGAGCTCACCGGCACCGGCGACAATGTGCTCACCAGACTCGGAGGTCATGGTCAGGACACAGGGGTCGGACTTGGAGAGACGCTTGAGACCCTCGACGAGCTTGGGGAGATCCTGGGCGTTCTTGACCTGGACGGAGCGCTGGACGACGGGGGAGACGGAGAACTTCATGACCTTGAGGTTGTGGGCGGTGTCGGAGGTGGTGAGAGTACCAGACTTGAGGAGGAACTGGTCAATACCAACGAGACCGACAATGTTACCGGCAGGCATGTCGTCGATGGCCTCGACCTTGCCACCCATCATGAGGACGGTACGCTGGATAGCCTTGATGAAGAGGTCCTCCTTCTTGCCGGGGGTGTAGTTGGGGCCCTGGATGCGGACCTTGATACCGGACTTGACGGTACCGGCAAAGACACGACCGAAAGCGTAGAAGCGACCCTTGTCGGAGGTGGGAACCATCTTGGAGACGTACAGCATGAGGGGACCCTTGGCATCGCAGTCGCGGATGGCAATGGCGGCCTCGTCGTCGGGGGGACCCTCGTACAGAGTCTCGGCACGGTACTTCTGGGCGGTGACGGGGGAGGGAAGGTGGAGAATCATCATCTCGAGAAGGGCGTCGGCGGCGGGGAGGAAAGTGCGCATGACGGCCTTGAGGAGCTGCTTGCCCTCCTTGTCGCGGTCCTCAACGGGGAGCTTGAGGTCGAGCTTCTGGAGAAGGGTGGCGACCTCCTCCTTCTTGAAGTTCATAACGGCGGAGAAGATCTTGAAGATGGGGTCCAAGATGAACTGGTTGAAGGCACGCTCGAGCTGCTTGCCCTCGTGGGAGCTCTTGGTGGTCCACTTCTTGGTGTGGGGGTTGAAGTAGTTGTCGCCCCAGAGACGCTCCATCATCTTGTTGCGGTCGACACCAAACTTCTTGGCGTAGCGGACGGCGAACTGGCGGATGGTGAAGGCCCAGCCGTGAAGACCGGAACCGAAGGCGATGGTACCCTTGTCGGGGTAGACCTGGACGTCACCGAGCGACTTGTCAAAGTAGGTGGAGATGATGACGTTGACGGACTCGATGGTACGGGAGAAGGACTGGTACAGATCCTCCTTGGAGACCTGAAGCTCGAGAAGAGCACGGTCGACCTTGTTGATGATGACGACGGGCTTGATGCGCTCACCGAGGGCCTGACGCAGGACAGTCTCGGTCTGGACGCAGACACCCTCGACGGTGTCGACGACGACGAGAGCACCGTCGGTGACACGGAGAGCGGCAGTGACTTCGGAAGAGAAATCAACGTGACCGGGGGAGTCGATCAGGTTGATGAGGAAGTCGGTGCCGTCGGTCTTCTGGCCAACAATGTCCTTGACATCTTCGGGGTCGACGTTGTGGTACAGGGAGATGGCGGTAGACTTGATCGTAATACCACGCTCCTGCTCGTCGGCACGGGTATCCGTGGCTCTCGCATCTCCGGCCTTGGCGGTGGAGATGATACCGGCCTTGGAGAGAAGGGAGTCGGTGAGGGTGGACTTTCCGTGATCGACGTGGGCAATGACGGACATGTTACGGACGTTGGTGGGCTTGTCCATGAGCCCACGGATCTCCTCGACGGTGAAGCTGTGGTGAGAGCCATGGTTAGTATCGTTTGGGCTGTGTGGGAGCTTAACTCCGAAGGGGAAGAGGGGAGAAAGGTCAAAGTGAGGTGAGGTGAGGGGCGGGGTAGAGGCGATCGCTCAGCAAAGCAACGGGGAAAGAAGCTTCGCTGCAACGATGCGGCAAAGTGTGCAAGCATTGCTCCATGATGATGATGTAGAAGCAGGTGTTGTCGATGTTGTTTGTGCTCGGGATAGAAGGAATGTGTTGTGGTTAATGGAACTTACTTGACCATCTTGACGGCGGTGGCTCAACGAGCTCTTTGAAATTTCTGTGTCGGGTGGGATGTGTAGAGTCGAAGTTGGGCGAAGCGGGGTTGAAGAATCTGCCCCGCGCTCACAGAGTGCTGAATCCTTTTCTCTGCTTGAGAGAAGAAGGAAGACAGATGAAGATGTGAGGGATGCCTCGAAAGGTTGAAAAGTCGACGGTTCCAGGAAACGACAGGGGAACTGATGAGCTCCTCTACCGATTCTTTTATCGTCGAAAAGGTGAATGGGATGGAGGGGGCGGGGAGGGTAGGAAAAGGGAAAAGGTGGGAGGGGGAAGGAATGGAAAAAAAAGGGAACCGGTGCGTCCCTCGCCTTGCCTTGGCCGTGTGAGGCAGGCGTTGCCCCGAAGGTGAAAAAAAAAAAAGTTAGTGACTGGCCCGCCGGATGGGAAAAAATGGGTAGGTGGGGCACCACAGCAAAAGAAGTGTGAGAGAAAAAAAAACCCCCCGCCACTCTCGAGGCCCCTCCTTCCTGGTTTTTTCGCCCTTCCCCTCTCCAACCATAGCAGCTGCAAAGCATTTTGGGCAGGCACGGCACACACTTTGGAGGGGCTGTTTGGGTGCCCCTCTTTCTACGCACTGTACCCAGGTCCATCCAATTATCCTTTCGTCAACCACTTGTTGATTATTCGCAGACTTGCAGCCTCTTTTCTCAGTAACAATCGTGGCGCCACTCATCTCACTGCCTGTCATGTCCGCAGTGAATTATCTTTTGCTACCTTACCCAAGACAAGGTACCGGGTGCCACAGCAACAGCCTTCCCCGTCAGCACCTTGCACTATCTGTCTTGCTCCAGCCTCCGGATCTCGAGTTCCAGGGCACCTCGCCGGGTCTGTGCAAGGAGGGGCAGCGTACCTTCCCTTACCCTATGCGAGAGAAAGGGCAGTAACCCTCCCCTCCTCGCACCAGAACCTCACCACCACCCAAGGTACCTTATGTAAGGTAGGTACGCAGTACATCGGGCCCAGACAACCCCCCGCCGAATCGTCTCAACTGCTCTATTCGAGCTGGACGCACATTTGACACACGTCTTGTTTGAATTAGACAAAGCTCCTGTTGCTCGGGCACACGCAGCTATCCAAGACTCTTTGATCGAGGAAACCTTAGCTAAGCATGCCAAGGTACCTTCCGTAAAACGCAAGAGACAGAAAGCCAGAGCTCTTTCCCTGCTTATCTAAACAATCAGAACTACCCCGCCCTCGCTTGGCTTCAGATTTACACCGTGCACCGCACTGTACCTAAACAGCCCACCCCGGTGCACCGCAAAGGTGGTGAGATCAACGATCATCACTACAACCCGCCCGTGGCTGCGAATTGGGCTCCTCTGGCTCTGGGACAATCTTCAGCACCCAATGACGGAGCCGGCGTTGACTGTGAATACTCCCCTTCAAAGCTTACTCTGCCATGCCTTACGGTGACACCTCTGCCCGCAGTCAAAGAATTATCCGGGGTGACCACTGGCGGGAGATCTGAGACCCGGCCGGGCTGGCTGATGCTTAGATTCTCGGTCAGCCTAATCGGGACGCCGTGATGTGCCCACACCGGCCGGAGCACGACTCACCGGCATCCAAAGCCACGAACCATATATCGGTCTGGCTCGTCCCATCGAGCCCAAACCTCGCCTCTCTTATTTCCACTTGCAATCCATCACTGCATGCGCCTCATCCTATAGTGCCCTCGTCACAAGTCCGAGTGTGTCAGTCGCCGTGGGAAGATAACATTATGTTTGATTACTAAGTTGATACTGAACAACTCTCCGCGGGTATCCCCCTCCAATGTACCGTAGTAATGCTCACCTCAAGGTCCAATGATGATGACCTTGACGTACCCAAAGGTAAACTCCCTTAACGCCGGAAAAAAAAAAAACGACTGTCCGAATGACTCAACGCCGCCCTCTGCCCGATGCCATCCCATTGACCAAAGTCCTCATGACCCCAGAATCTTTGAATACGCATCCTCCACCTCACCAGCAAGCTCAAGCAACGCCACAATCACAATCTGATGCGTCAGATTCGGCAACCGGTCCCTGTGAAGCCCAATCCACTCCAGCGGCGGCGTCGCCTCGCCCATATCCCTCAACTGAGGCGTCTCGATAATCGGCGGCTCCAGCGCAACGTAGTCGTACTTGGACTGCGGTACATTGACCTCGGCCGTGATCTTTTGCTGCTGCTGCGACGATCCGCCCGCCTGCCCGTCGCCGCTGCCACCCTCCGTATCGGCGTCCGGCACGCCCGTCACCTTGATCGCCGTGAGCGCCGCCGTGAGCGGGAGCTCTTTACCCCACGTCTGCTCGAGCGATTTGGCGTGGCTGGCCCACATCCCGCGGATGTAGCTGATGCGCGAGTAGTTCCATCCCACCTCGACTTTGCCCTCGAACGCGCTCTTGAAGATGTAGTCGATGCGGTTGCGGTTCGGTGTTTGCCATGTCTGCATCACGGCGCCCACCTTGGGCACTTTGAGAATGGTGCCGCCGCGCGATCCCGTTGCTCGCTCGACCACGTCTTCCACTGATATCTCGCTGAGCGTCTTGGGCGCTTCAATGTTCCTGACACCCGCGAGTCCGATACGCAGCTGTCCAAGAGTGAGTGCCAGGATGCTGTGGACGCGCCGCTGCTCGATGCTGGCTGCGAATCGTGCTTCCGCGCCAAGAGCCTCCATCTTGAACACCTGGTGATCGGAAAAAGTACTCGGGAACACGCCCAGATTCAACGCCTTGAGTGTGACAACAACGTCCGTATCCAGTGAGATGGGCGCTTTAGAGAGTGTGTCTTCGGCTTGTAACTTTGGCGCGCTTGTAAGATGGGGAGACAAGGCGGCGCTTTGGTATGACCGTCTTCTCATGAACTTCTCAATCTCTTGCAACGACATTTCAAAGTTGGCCCGCCTCTCCTGTATGAGCTTTTGGAACGCTTGATACAGGGATGCCGCCTGTGCTGCCGACGTCGTGGTACCAAATATTTGCACCGCGTCTCCGTCAAAGATGGCGACGAGCCTATCACCGGTGCCTTCGAGACTGCGTCGTACATTGTACATGAGAAGCTCAAGAGACGTGATATCGGCGACGAGGAACGCCTGGTAGTCAAAGGCAGCCTTCACCCGGAACTGACTGAATCCAATGGAAGCCTGCACAAGGGGCGTCTCATTGAGCGCCGCCTCCCGCTCTGGCCACTGGATGGATGTCCGCAGCTGGAACTTTTGCAGCGCGATGAAGCCGCTCAACCGGCCCGTACAGTCTATGCCAATCTTCTCAAAGCCGAGGCACAAGTTTTGCTCCCAGTCGGACGTCTTCTTTGACGACACCCAAAACTCCTTGATGGCAAAGACCGATTTGCCAATGGCCTGGCCCATGTCTACGCTGACATCGAGCGACGTGATGGAAATGGTTGCCGTCCACGGGAACGCTGCTGTTGCGGCCACCTGCTGATATCTCTGCACCAAGTGGCCCTGTTGTGATGTTTCCGTGTTGAGTTTGGCGACCGGTGCCGTCGTGGTATTCCGCAGCTCCGTCGGGTACCAAATCTCGCGGAACAGCAAAAAGTCCTGAAGCTGCTTGGCGTTGATGGAGACGGTCATCGGGCTGACCTTGAGAATGGCAGACACGCCGCTCGTTCCGCTGACGTGCTTGCTGTTCATCAGCGACAGCACGATCGAGTCGACGTCGAAACTTCCTGTGGATTCTCGAGAGTATACGTGCTGGACGGATGCCTGCAGCTTGGAGAAGGCTCCCGAGATGGAGAAGAAGTTGCCCTGTTCCTGCGAGCGCACCGTATTGACAGTAAAGTAGATGTCGTCGAAGCAAGTTGTGGCGGCCACTCGTGCAATGGGCTGGCAGCTTAGCGAAAATTCCTGGCGGCAGATGCGCAGGCCCAGGTTCAGCTTCAAACGCCCAATGACGGCGTTCGGATCAGCAGTAAGAATGTTATCCTCATTGCCAGTCTTGGGCTTGGCCGCGGCTGCCGGTGTCTGGGCTGTCGCGGGCGTGTCCTTGTCCTTACCCACGACTTCTTTGACGCTGGTTGTCATGTCCATGATGAGGGGCACCACGGACGGATACAAGATGTTGCTCGAGGCGTCAATCTTGATCTCGCCATACAGAGAAGGGTCTTCGTTTCCGTTGTCGCGGTACTCAAACTTCCAGGCCAGACCTGGTGATCTGAGAACAGTGCTGCTGCCGGTGTCATCCGTGCTGAACTGGCCATACTTGCCTGCCAGGGAAGGCCGTCCGGTCCTGGAGCTCCCACGGAGTCCGTCTGTTGGCTTCTTTCCCGATACATAGACAACGGCACCCGAAAAGTCTGCGTCAACCAGCAGAGACTCTAGGCGTTTGGTACCGAGTATGCTTCTCTGCGGTGGCGCCGGCTCCTTGATCTCGTCCACCTTCTCGACCTTGGGTGGAGCGGTCCCTGCAGTCCAATTTTGAGATGCTCTCTGCACGTTCTGCATGGAAAGGCTGATGGAATCTTTGAGAATAGCGGCGGGGATGATGAAGCCCGAGGTCAGGCGCAGGTCGAGCGACTTGCCAACTGCCTGGAAGGCCAAGCTGCGGGTGTTTGGGTTGGACACGTAGGCAATGTTGAAGACGACCTCGGGAAGCAGCGCCGAGTGAAGCGATCTGAGACTTTTGTCCTGGCCAGGAGGGACCATCTGGAGTTGAAAGTTCTCAATCGACAGCCTGGCTGATTTTGTCTGGCGTGTTCCGAAGCTGACGAGCTGGACGGACAGAATCAGGTCTTCTTTGCTGCCCGCCAACGGCAGCAGCTCATCTGAGGGATCGCCAACGAGCCAGGAGATCTGCGTGTCGCGCACCTCAAAGCGGTAGACAACCGACGACAGGAACGAGTCGATAATGTCCGGTTCCTCTGCCTCTTCCTGATAATTAATGGCGATGCGGGGCCTAGTCTGTCGAATCTTGCGCAGGTACTCGAGCTCGCGCGACGTGTCGAGGTCTTTGATCTTGTCACCCATGTAGCCCAGAGCGGCGACCACCGTTGAGACGGTTTCCGGGGACAACTCGATTTCCAGGCCGTCGCTTCTAAAGTTGAAAGACCTCTCTTCTGTGCCGTCTTCTGTGCACCGAGTATTCATCGAGATGAGAGCGCCGAGAGCTAGGCTACCACAGGATCTCATAGCATTGTCCCTGCCTTTCTGCACATCAATCAAGATTTGACGCAGGTTAATATGGAGTTCTGGTTGCGCCAGAATCGGCCCGTGTGAACCGTGACGGTTGGCCACTTCCAGGTGCACTCTGTCAAGCTTAAAAGAGAGACACGCCGTGGGATCCTTTTCAGACACGAGGGGCGTGTTTCCAAACACTTCAATCCCGGCCAGAGTGAGATGAATGGTGTAGATGAG